AAAGCCAATAAAATTACAGTACAGCCCCGAATTGAAACATAAATAAACCTTGAGGGAGTGCTGGCAGGAAAATTGCGAGCTTTTCGTCGTAAACGCGTGACTTTTATGGGGCGGTTGTAAAAAAGGGGGGAGAGGGAGAGAGAGAAAAAAGAAGCGATTCAGAAGAATCAACCAGGTCGAATTTCGGTGATCAATGGCTAGTCTGCTGTTGGGCACAGATTCAAAAATCTCCGCTGAAACTTTAGACCACCTCAGAATTCAAAATCTTCTTAACATTTTTGCCTATTGTGGGCTAAAGAAATTTTCGAAGCCAGTCAAAACATCCATAAAAACTAGAGCTCTGTGAAATTTTTAGCCTCTGTCCTAGACTCATTTCCTCTTGTTTTCCACCTGCCCGACTTCAAATTTCAGCCAAACAAACCAATTGAAAGATCTTCGAGAACCGAAAAACACAATCGCCCCAAAACAGAGGTCTCTTTTCCACTCCATTATATTCGTAATTCGTTCACCGAATATTCGTAACCTCTCCGCAAACAATGGCACCATGGAGAAGAGGTGTTTATTGCCTGTGACGCGCACCTAGACGACGAGGAATCCCCCCATCGTCGAATGAAAAACCCCACCACACACGCAGCGACGAGAGTGGTCTTATGGGCTGGCCGAAAGCCGCAGCGCTTCGACAAAAAAAAGAAGCGTTTTTTTTCTTCTTGCTCGTCAATTTTCCCGAATATCCCACCCGTCATTTTTGTCTCCTCGAATGCACAGTGCGAGATTCATTCTTCTTTCGAAACTTGGAGACGAATTGGAATGACTGCAAAATGCCGGCTTACTACAGTGAAATCCCGTAATAAAGCGTTATTGTTTTTGTTCTCTGTGCTTTTGGGATTAGCTTGTTAGAGTTCAGAGGCAACGACGGTAACGATGCTTTTACTACCGCAAAAATTGATCTCTATGAACCACTGAGCTTGAATTGCTGATTCAGAACCACTGAATTAGGCTTGTCATCAAATTTTAATCCCACCCTCTGTTTTCTCGAAAGCAGACCTCCATGAATATGGAAAGCATACACCACGATTATCCCTAACTTTGGAACCATTTCTTAATTTGGAGCCCCTCTCATTAATATTATTCAAACCAAAAACCGATGTATGCGAGCGGAGGAAACATGACCGCTCATGTTTTTCCTGTGACCAGTCAATTTCTAATCCGCCACCCGCTGTAACAAAAGGATACGGCAATGGCATATTGGAAAGTAGCGGACGGCGGAACGTTACGGTTTGTAAACAGGAAAGGCAAAGTTTTTATTCCAATAACAAACCGCAACGTCTTTATGTCAGTTACTGCCGGATCAGCAAGAGCTCCAAGTGCGACGCTCAGGTTTTTTTTAAACTTTGCACACATACAGTGGGGGACCTAATCCACTGACAAAAAAACGGAGCAGTTTGCATCCGCAAGCATCAAAAATGTGGCAAAATGCTTCCCTCTCCAAGAGAAAAAACTTCGTTTTGAACGTCGCGCCCTTTCCCTCACAAAAAGAGCCGACTAATTAATCGGATTTTTTTCACTTGGAGAGGGAAGCATTTTGCCACATTTTTGATACTTCCCGAATGCAAAATGGTACGTTTTTTGCCATCGGGCCCCCCATTGTATCAACCAAAGCCACCTATCAATTCCTGAAGATTTTAGCTCGCGCTTTACAGGCTCAGCCGAGATATTCAACGACATTTGCGGAGAGTACCGCAAAACACTGTTTTTGGCTTCATCCTTGCCAGCCTCGTGTTGAAAAAAATTTTTTTTGGAGGAAATATTACCCTCCATGATAGAATGGGGAATGAAACTTTTCGTGCCAAAATCCGCAAAAAACTCTCATTCTTGCCAACTTTAAGTTTAAAAATCGCTGTCATTTCTGCAAAGCGCAAGATAGACGTCTCGCATTTGTCATAGAAAGTATTCGTCTATATTTTTGCCAAGCTTCATCAAAACCTGAGCACCGCACTTAGAACACTTCCCTAACCAGCTGAAATCTCAAAGAACTACTTCAAAAATTCCAGAAGAACTCTGACTAGGACCAGACTCATTGCACTTTGTCACTAAAATGACCTTTCCCGTTGAAAAAATCCAGAATCCCACTTCCTGTCCCAACACTATTTATTTTCGGCTAGTCCACATGTGATAAACCAACTCCCCTTTCCGAATTCGACAATGGCCGCTCTCCCGCATTTTTTTTAACAAACTTTCGGCCCCTCCGAAGATGAGACATGTGGCCCGCAGAGTAACCAAAGATCATCAGTTGTTTAAAATTCATGTAATGCCGGCGATTCGATTAGCCCTTTCAAAACCGCCAAATATTATCGAGTTTTTCATTGGCCGCTAATCCGGGGGAAGAGCGGGAGAATGCAATTCCATGGCTAGTAATCATTGAACCGCCCAATTTTCTTTGTCTCCTTTCATTCGCCAAGGCGGAAAGGAAACGACCTTCCAATAAAAAAAGCAATTTCTTTTGCACTTTAGCAGAGAAGTCTTGAAAAAAATCGGCTTTGACGAGCGCTAAACAACCTCGATATGGCTTGCCAGTTGACAGGGGAAGTACCCCAAGTGCGACGCTCAAATTTTGACTGCTCCTGGAAAGAGCGAGCTAAAACTGCCAGAAATTGACAGCTTTTATTCTGGCCTATGCCAGAATATGTGTGCAAAACTTTTAAAAAATTATGAGCGTCGCACTTGAAAGCCTTCGCTGTGCGTCCCGCATCTTTTTTGCGATTAATTTTGGTGTCAAATTTCCGCTGGCTAATTTTAGAAGCAATTTTTGGGAGGTCTGGGAGGGTTTTGACGCAGGTACATTCTCTCCGGCTTTATGGTTCGATTAATCCATGAGAATGGAGCACGTCATACGACAAAGGAAACATTCGGAGGGAAGAAACAAAGAAAAAACATTAGACTTTCAGATTATGACCAAAAATAGAACGATTACGAGGGAAGTTAGAGATGAATTTAAAACTGACGTCCAAAAGAATTTTAGATCTACATACTTTGGTAATTTAGATCGAAGTCTGACTTCAAATGAACACGTCCCGACTTTTCGGGTCGACGACAGTTCGGGTCAACACAAAATCGATCGACACGGGGCGAAAGGTAGGTGGATACTCGAAAAAAGGGTTGTAGTAAGTGCCTACGAGGTCTGGCAAGCCCTGGATGGTCGGCGGAAGCTCAGCGAAAGCTCGGCAGAGACTTGGCGAAGACTTGCAATATGTCCACTTTTTCTAATTTGAGCGATTACTAACGTTGGTTGGTTTTATCTATCCTGAGTTATTGTAACATGCAAAACACAAAGATTCGTAACTTCTATCTAGATATTATTGATGGGAGTACATGTAAAATACCTCAAAATAGGTGATAAGCTATCCTGGGATCTGATCAATCTTATTATTTTTAACACATAAGCAGTCTCCTAGCGTCCCCATGCATATAACGACGAACCGACACGATCCATAATACAGTGGGGGACCTGATCCAGTGGCAAAAAACGTACCATTTTGCATCCGGAAGCATCAAAAATGTGGCAAAATGCTTCCTTCTACAAGTGAAAAAAACTTCGTTCCTCACAAAAAGAGCGGGCGCGCTTTTGAAACCTGAGTTTTTTTCACTTGGAGAAGGAAGCATTTTGCCACATTTTTTATACTTCCAGGATACAAAATGGTACGTTTTTTGCCACTGGATCAGGTCCCTCACTGTATCACTGACCCGCACTCTCGGTGACACGAAAAATCGCACGGCAACCCAAAATAGAACAAAAATGTCTCCCGCCCACTTTTGAATTTCGTCCAAACGAAGTGTCAAAATTCACAAAAGAAATAAAATAATTCCGAGAAAAATATTTTTCGGTCGGAAAACCACACGAAAATTCATTTTTGACATTTCGTTTGAATTCAACCGATACTAGGTGGGCGAAGCGCCGAAACGAGGCGGGAGACTCCCTGGGTTGCCGTGAATCGTAGCGCACAAATAATCTTGTTGACGGCTCTAAAGTTAGCAACGGCTTACAAGAAGTCCGTCGGCCATTCATCCTTCCAAATCCAGCCAAAAACGCGGAATTCAGAGGGATAAATGGCCCCTTCTCCATTTGTACTTGACCCGCATCGTCGAGACAATCCTATCTTCCCATCAATCTTTTCCACTTGTCTTTCCACAAAAGCAACAAACATACGAACGACTCGTATTTCCCTGAATCTTTATTCGTTCGGAAGAAAATAATTTTTTTCGACTTCCCACCACCCTGGTCGAATATTTCCTTTCCCCCCTCGTTTTCCTGGTCGCACCCCCACACAAATGCACTCAAAAACTGCGACGGACCACCGTCCTTCGCTTACGCTTCTTCGAAGAAATCGTAGGAAAAAGTCTACTGTATGAAAACGAGAGCAAAACATTTTGGCGAACATCGAAAAATGGACGGTAAAAAGCATGGAGAGCCAAGTAAATACAGAATTCTAAGGAAAGAATCAATTTTTTCGACATTTCTATATTATTTATGGCAAAAAAATCTAGCATTATTCTCTTACTTTCATTTGAAAAGGATAAAACTATGCAAAATAAACTGAAATTGACCTTTTTGAGCAGTAAACCCCATCAAAGTCAGTATTTTACAATCCAAAACTTACCAAAATTGGTTTCAACTGGTCGAAAAGCATGGAGCGCCTCTAACACCAACACTGTAACCCAGCCAACGAAAACCTCTGATTCATCTCGCTTCCTCGTTCGAAAATTGGCGGTTTTGCCGAATTTTCCAAAAATTCTTTTCACAAATGGAGATTTTGTCTCCCGACACGAAAACAAAGAAGCTACAAAGAATTTCCAACATTCTTGGCATTCCGTTGTAATAAAAGAATTTTAGTTTGTCCATCGAATTTTACTTGTTTCGGCCTGTTTATGACGTGTTTTATGGTTTATTTTGGCGCTTTCAGCCTATAGTATCCTTAATTCTCATATTTCTGGTTTTTAGCGCGATGACTCTGCTAGAACAACACATTTTCCTCAACAATCTGGAGAAATACTTTTTGAAGAGCCGACAAGGAGGACCGTCAGCTGTTCGTCTCACTATCAAGCCTTGTAAGTAATTTTATCTTTGCATTTCCGTTGGTTTAGATATAATTGAACATCTTTTGTGTTTTTTGACGGATTTTATGAGAATTGGACGCTATTTTTGGATGAAAGCTATAAATTTATTAACGAAGCTAAATGTGTTTAGTATTCATTGAGCTTTTGACTTGGAAAAAGACAAATTTGAAAGTTTGTCCCGCTCTTAAATTATCGTTAATAATTTTATTTTTTCAGATGATGGGCGAACTCGCCCTGAACCAAGGTCCGAAGAGAAGAAGCAGAAACTTGGAAAGAAGGCTAGGAAAACTCAGAAACGAAAGAGGGCTGAGGAGCCACCGAAGGAAGACCTTTGTCTAGTTCGAGCCAAGGTCGGAAGCGAACATATCAGTACTGTGGTAAGGTTTTTGATTTTTTCTTTGATTTTAGGTACCATTGTACTTCGAAGTGGCTCTAAATTCATTATCGTTCTATTTTTTAGCTCCGTGCCAAAGAAGTCAACAGGTTCCATATCCAATACATGGGATTGCTGCGGGAGCACATGAACACCCTTCAAAAGCCGGCCAAGGAGAAGAAAACAGCCCGTCGAGTGGTCGCCAAGGCCAATTAAGGTCCATTTCTTAGGCCGCGAGCTACACAAGAGCTTGTTACATATTGTTTTGTGGTCTTTTAGCAATTTCTGGGAAGTGTTTACATTTAAAGGATCAAATTTATGTTATCCGTCAGCAGTTGTTGATGTCTTTGGTATTTTTCGGAAGTTTTGGTGTCTAATCAATTAGGATGAGATTACTGTTGCGTAGATAATGTTGTTAAGAGGGTCAAAGTTGCAATCCAAGAAAACTTTTCAAGATATTTTGGAGGCGGATAATTGTATTTCTTAAATCTTATCTTAGTCACGCAGGTGATATTTGGAAGGGAACCGATTGTTGTTCTTTGATGTCAAGTCCTGTTTGGCTATGCAATTGTGAGTTCCGGAAATGTTGGGGGTAATATCGCCTGAGGGAATTTATTGCCGTTTGTTATAACAAATGAGCTCGTGTCAATTTATTCTTTTCTTACGAAGCTATTTTTGGAACTAAAACATTATCTTTTATAGGAAAATCACGGAAAAACGTTAGTTATTCCAACAACCCATGTTGAATATAAATTTCAATACAAAATTTATGCGAAGTTTCAGCTGTACTCTTGGTGTCTCACTAATAATGTATTTTTTGATTCATCAGGCAGCCAAAAACTTTATTTTTCCATTCCCAGAATTGTAAAAGTCCAAGCGTTTTTTTCTGAATTTTGTTTTTCTTCTGTACTTACGGGTGTAATCTATAAGTTTGTGTTATTTTGGAGTGTGTCTAAATTATGGTCAATAAAGTTAAATAAGCCGCTTGGGGGTATACTGCGTATAACTGATATAAAATGTGCCAAAAATCCTTTTAGTCGTTGCACGGCATTGTGTTGTTTTGAGACACAACCTAGAGTTTATGTTGCCTGGTTCCTTACAATATTTATATTTTCGGAAAGACGGCTTTTTACTTTACTACCATGCCAAGTTTTAGCCCTCTAGCTCAAACGGCTATCGAGATGTGGAGAGAAAAACCAAGCGCATTCCGAAAAAAGTTGAAAAAGTCGCGGAGATGGGTCCCAAAAGTACAGAATGCCGTGCGTTGCAAAATATGATGATCTGTGAAACATTGCTCCGTACTTTTCATAAAAAAATCTAATTGTTTTGCATATTTATAGAAATGTATGCTGATATAGTTGTCAAACTTTTTTCCATGTTATGTGGTTTCCAGTTGTTCTTGACATATAAAATGCAAGAAAATTGTGACCGCTTTTGATTCAAACGTGTTGTTGTAATGTTGCGGCCTTGTTGTTCCGTAATTTTGTATCTTATTAAGGCCTTTCCAGGAATTTTGTAGCTTATTAAGCGCTTTTCCGCATGCTCTAACCTCTTTCTTGTCATGTTTTTACAACTTACCTAACTGCGATTATACCATATATTTATGCGTAAGTTGGATAGGAACCAAATTGGTCCCTTCAAATTAGCCTCACCCTTGTGTTCAATAGTTTTTTTTAATGTCATTGATGTTCATGTTTTACAATTTTTTTGCACGTGCACTGCATTCAAATTTTAGTTCCGCATCACCTGTTCTCTGTCCAAACATTCTTGATTACGGAAATTTTATAAACTACCATAGGCTTTTCTTTTATTGGTAATATGTATTAGTCCGTCGGGAAAATAATGAACACAAAAATGGCATCGCTACCGAGATAATTAATTGTGTCGCACAAAAATCATCTTTTTTCAGTTCTGCGACGCGATCTACCGAGGTGCTGCGGAATTCTGCTCATTATTTTCCCGCCAGACTGGTGGTACTTTATAAAGTACATGGACAAGCATCGTTGGGATGTAGCCTGACTATGTCGCTACGCGACTCGTCAGCCTACATTCCCAACGCGGTTGTGCGCGCAAATCAGCCTGGAAATTAGGCTAAAGGGGAAGTACTCCAAGTGCGACGCTCAGATTTTGATGAAACTTGGCACAAATTTAGAATAATTTTTTATAAGATATATGCGAGAATCCTAGCCCGCGCTTTGCAGAAACAACCGAGATTTTTAGAACGAAAGTCGGCCAAAATTTAGGACTTTTTGCCGAATTTCGGCACGAAAAGTTTCATGCCTATTTCTACCGTAAAGTAAAATGTTTCTACAAAAACTCAAATTTTTCCGCACGAAACTGCCGAAGTTATGGCCAAAAGCGTTTTTCTCTCTGACCATTCTCCACGTTTAGCGTGCTCTCTCGGCGGCAAAAATTGTTCGATATCTCGGCGGCGCCCGCAAAGCGCGAGCTAAAACTTTCAGGAATTGATATATAGTCCATACCCGACGTGTGTGCAAATTTTAAAGAAAATCTGAGCGTCGCACTTGGATTACTTCCCTTGTAAGTCTAAACTGCACGCCGCTAAACGCGACAAATGTCCATGCAATTTGTGAAAATGCTAGTATGTAATTAACTTGTTGTAGGCCTCTTTTGACGTTGTGGATGTATAAAAATAGAAGTATAAAACGTTGCACTTGTATTTTATTTTTTGTCAGTATGTCTCGTAAATTTGAATTATTTACTTTCTTTTAGCGAGCCTTGTATCTTTGCTTTGAAGGCTTCATTTCTCAAGAGCTCTTTTTGATAGGTGTTAGATCCATGTTGGTCGCAAATATCGTCATTGATGACATTTTTAAAATCTGTGCAAAAGTCCTAACTTGCGTTTTGCAGGAGATATCTTGACTCTTTCGATGCATTTATCAGTCTGTCGGAAAAATAATAAGCACTGTGTCGCTTCGCCTACTAGGCGTTCCAGAAAGTGCGTGCACTTTTTGTCGTGGGCCGCACTGTGCACAAAATTGCCTTCTTGCGGGGTGCATTTGACCTTTTGCACCGTGCAATTGCAATATCGCAGCGACGCAGGCTTTTCTCAACGGAGCCGGCGCGATTTTTTAGAAACTGCACAGTGCAAAATGTTTCGAAACGGATCGCGTCGCGCGTAGACATGGCTAGTGGGCCGGGCCGGCCCGGCCCGGCCCAGCCCCCCGGGGGGCCGGGCTGGGCCGGGCCGAACGAGTTTTAAAGGCCCCGGGGCCGGGCCGACCTCTTCCGGCCCCCGGGCCGGGCCGACCGGGGGCCCCCGCCAGGCCCCAATCGGCCCCCAATGACTAAAATTCTCAGTCTCAAAGCGAAAATTAGGGTGCCAATAAAAATAAAACGCAGAGCCAAGAACCGATTGGGTTTTTTGAAGTAATATTTTAGGCAATGGTTGGTAATTTTTTGTTTCAAAAATTTATTGTCGATTGTTATAACAAAAAAATGGGGACTAGGGTAGTACAACCCGCCAGCCCAGTTCAGCCCCCCTGGACCCAGTATAAACCCCCTCATCCAATCTGAAGCGCCTACTCGGGATTGGGTTCTCTCGGCTACGATCATCGTTGCCTGAACCACAAAAACGAATTTGGACGGTAACTGGGGCTTTGAACTAAAACGCCTGGGGTAATTTTACTCTAATTTGCATTTTTTGTATAATTCCAATTTTTTAATTACGGGGGTGTGAAATGGACAAAACAGTGGGGGTTTGAACTACCTTTCGTAGGGAGCTGAACTACCAAAGCCCCAAAAAAATGTGTTATATCTCGCAATGATTGCAGTATTTATATTTACGGTTCGGCCCCCTGTCGGCCCCCGGCCCGGCCCGGCCCCCTGGGGGCCGGGGCCGGGCCGGGCCGAGAAAATTTGAAGAGGGCCGGGGCCGGGCCGAGCCCTTCCGGCCCCCGGGCCGGGCCGCGATTTTCGGCCCGGCCCGGCCCCCCAGCCATGTCTAGTCGCGCGGGGAACACGAAATTTTGCACTGTGCGGTGCGAAAAAGGCGGGAAAAAGTGCACGCACTTTCTGGAACGTATCGTGCCGTTGAAATGAAAAGCTGCTTATTTTGCCGCGACGCAATGCATTTTCTCGGCGGCGATGCGGTTTTTGCTGCGACAGAGTGCTCATTATTTTCTCGACAGACCGATATATGTCATGTTATTTTTGCATGAATTTATTTGTTGAAATGCAAATTTTCTGTAGTCGGTTGGACAATGATGACTCAAAAATACAATAATATGTATGTACACAGTATGGCCTCCACCAGGTATTGCCTGTTTCAGAAGTGGTCCGCCATGATGAAGTTGTGAAATTGTAGCCACGACCAGTTTCATGACATTGAGTGGTTTTCCGAGATCTCCACGGTTTTCGCGTATGCTCTTTAGTCCGAAAAAAAGTAATGAATTTGTGGTTTCTTAAACAAAAGAAATTAGCCATTTGAGTCAGGCGTTCATTGCCGTTTCAGCTGCCAGCTGACCTGGTTCGTTGATGAGATGTACAATACATCATGTTTATGTGTTGCACTGAAGCAATGGCCCTTGTCTAGGGGTTTTTTTCTACGTGAGGCACCAAACATCAATTGCTCAAAGTTGTAGCTCGCGGAAGATGTCTAGCCGTCGCAAGGCGATGATGGGTGATTCCAAGGCGCAACAACCCATCACTATTTTCCCGACAGACTGATGGCACAAGTCACATATCTGAGCATCCGACTTTCTGAAAAAAAATTTGAATTTGTAGCTCCCAAATTACTGTCCCTTTTCTTTACCCCAAATACTGAACAAGTGCGTTTACAGTTTCTAAAGAAACCCTGCTTATCTATTGGACAGTTGGCCCTTGTATTTATCGTGCCATGTGTCGATTAAATGTTACAATTTTGCTGTAACAACCTTTTACTTCTTCTGTTCGTTTCAGGTTCCACAGTAGTTTACTAGTTATGTTAAATGAGAATTCGTTGCTATCCGAGGCCACGCTTCAAGCATATCAATTCTACCTTCACTTCGCGCTCTTGGCGTCACTGCTGAGTACCTGTTTTACTGTGTTTGTGGTTCAGAAAGGTAAGAGAGTCATCTCATCCATTTTAACCGCCAAATTGCAGCGCAGATCCAGAAAATGTCCACATATCGGATTTACATCATACAAGAAGTGATTTGGTCCTTTCTCTACGAACTTTCTATGGGACTGTACGCGCCAGTGTCGTATTTTCCATATGTGTGCACTCATTCCGCCAGTTTTATGGACCGCTTCCCGCATGGTCTTCAGCTGTCTATTATGTTTGTGTTGCCGTTGTTTGGAGTGGGAAAGGGTGTGTCGTTGTTCGCCTTGAATATCAGACGATTGCTGGAGGCGTATCCGCCAAATCCGGTTGTGGACTTCTTCAAGTTCAGAGGCTGCACCACTTTGGTCATGGAGAATGGCGTGTTCATTTTGCTGTATTTTCTGTTTATGGTAAGTCAAGGGCTTCGGATTTACGGGGATAGTATCCCAAGTGGGACGCTGATCGAGATTTTTAGATCGAAAGTTGCAAAATTTTGAGACTTTTCTTTGCCTCAAACTGGCAAAGTTACGGTCAAACAGTGCTCTTGTCTCTGACGAATTCAGGCGTTTCTCTCGGCGACTTTCTTTGAAAAACATGAGCTAATTATTTTAGGAATTGACTTGTGGCTTTTGCCAGAAGTGTGTGCAAAATTTAAACAAAATTTGAGCTTCGTACCTGGGGCGTTCCCCTTGTTAGTTGTGTTTCAATAACAACCTCCGACAGAATTTTATTCGGCCATTTAAACACACTTTTTCAGGGTCCATTGATGCTCCAATTGGAGCCCCCATACATCGCCAACGCCATCCTCAACCAAACCTCGCCCGTTCTGAGCAAGGTCCTCGAACGGCATCCCAACATGATATGTGTTTCTTCCACGGCTATCCCCGCTTTGTTCGCCATACCTCTATGCCTTTTTGTGGGCTCCATATTCTTCATGCTGTTCCTACAACTCTCAATGTACAAATTGCTTCGGCCCATGGAGACGAAAGTGTCTAGTCAGACCTACCGCCTTCAAATCATGCTGTTCAAGAGTCTGTTCTTCCAAGTAATCGTCGCCTCGGTGTTCCTCTTATTGCCTGCCGCAATATGGACGTCCGGCGGGTTGTTTGAGTTTGAGCAAGCACCATTCTTGTCCATCTTTGGGTCGTCGATTATTTTAACGCACTCCACAATGGATTGTGCCTCAATTTTGATCACAGTACGACCCTATCGCGCTATGCTGAACAGGAGCATTTTGAGGATCTTCAAGAAAGATGTCAGCTTGAAGATTTCGTCATCAACAAAAGTGCTGTATATAAGTAGAAGGTCGTCGGCGCATAATGGAGGAACTATCAGTGCGGGTCGGTAAAACAGCTCAAAAGAACACTTGATGTACGCTCAAGTTGCACGTTTTCGTTCTACGATCTATAACTACAGGTGTTAATAACAGTAACGGGTAAATGAATAAATAGTTTTAAGAATAACTGAAGGTATACATGAAACATAAATTTGGTAGATTTCAGAGGCTCAAAGAGCTGGGGTTTCAGCCGAGCAAAGTTTCAGAAGAAAGAGAGAGAGTCACATCTCACAAAAGAACCACCCCATGTGCGACGTACTTCGTAAGCGCGGGCTAACAGTCTTGCACATATCCTACAAAAAATTTTTCTGAATTCGTGACAAGTTTCATCAAAATCTGAGCGTCGCACATGGTGTCTTTGCTATTTTTAGATAAAAGCAATCTGGAATAAAGCCAAGAGCGTTTGTTTTTCGAAATCTTTTGACGCTTATAAAGATTCCGTTTTCATGATAAGCCATAAAAGAAAAAATTCTATTCGGAAGCGTTTGTAAGCTCACTTTCTGCCGCGATGTGTAAGTTTCTTTGGTTTTTCAATCATGCTTCGATCCGGACTCTTTGATGACGACTATGGAACTAAAATATTAGGTTGGATAAAAACCATTTTTTCAAAATTTTTAATTCTATCTAAATTTATCACTAATAACAATTAATCAGGGTAATATCCACCATCACGATCGAGAAGGTATTGCCAAGTTCCGGAAGGGATTTAACACCTCTGGCTTAAAAAAGTCGGGATCTTTCGAGGCGAAAAGTCAGCAATTACGGTTTGGACCAGTTCCAAAAACACCTTGAAGATGGTTTCTGAGGGCCCGGAATAAATGGTAGGCAGTGGGTGCCAGGTCCGGTGAATACGCCGGATGTGGTAAAGGAGTCCAGGCTTTTTCGGAAATTTTTTTTCGGACCATTTTTGCCGTGTGCGGATTGGCATTATCATGGAGGAAGAATACTTTTTCCATTTTCCCCTTGATCTTAACGGCGACCCGGTCGAGTTGCTCAGCATGCACATCCGCAGTAACCGTAGCACCAGTAGGAAGAAGCTCCCAATGAATCATTCCATAACAATAATTCCAATCCAAGTACCACAAAACAGAATTCGTACAACCGGGCTTTAGAGTTCCTCTTCTCCAAACTAACTTCTTTTTTCGTTCTCTCGCACCCACCGATCGTTTCCACCCGGGAATTCAAATGCCATGGCTCGCTTTCGTGGCGGGACCAGTTGCGGGGATCGTTGTCAGTTCTGTGTTCCTTTAATCAAAATCCATGGGATTTTCTTTCAGCTGGGTTTCCCGGCATCCTCCCCAACAAGCCTGACGAGCCGGAATTCAAGCTCTGCACCGACCTCAACGGGCCCATTGTTTTTAATTGCACGATGCTGGACTTTGGTCCGGTCAGTGTGAATATCCGACTCGACAACCCGACGAATCAAATACACACATTCAAGGTGCGCTTTGCAAGCTTTCTATTAGCCTTTACAGCCCAAAATTACATTGATTTTTTCAGTGCAAGTGCACCTCATACGACTATCTTCGAGTCAAGCCGCCATTGGGCTTTATTGAGCCTTACTCAACGATCAATTTGAAGGTTGTATTCCGCTCGAAAAACATCCCCGAAGATACGCAAGTGGTCGCAATTTATCACATGCCAGTTGACGATACGACTATTCCGTTGCGAGATCTTTGGCCACACGCCGCAACGTTCGATGGAGTCCGCAGATTTCGCTGTGAATTTGTCAATGAGTTTGATCTCCGCTAAAAATTTCAATTTTCCCGAGGGCAACGGTAGTATTTTTTATGCAAAATAAATCCATCTTCTTCCATTTGTGGAATTTTTAATTTATTGCGTGCAAAAAGTGATGTGCCTCATTATATTTTTGAATGGGTAATCCAAGGACAACACGTCGGACGGAAGGCCAATTGATATGGTAAATATAAATTTGGAACAAAGGCCAAATTTCAATAAGACAAGGGGGAAAATTTGGGCAATAGAATTGTGTAAGTCATCGTACAGACTAGAATCTATTATCAAAAAATACGTAATCATTTTTTTTGTCTTTTATTGCGTACACACAGTGAAAAAGCTTACGTGTCGGCAGCGACGACAACTATTTTCCCGACAGACCGATATGACTAGAATAGTATTAAATTGAACCAATTTATCGTATTTTTAGGGTCATTCGTTTCAGTGAAAGCTTCCTTGGCTTTGTTCCTAATAATTTATTTTCTCAAGGTCTATGAAAACGCTTTTTTCAGTGACCATTTTCTCAACGGTAACGAGCATCCTGAAGACAAAATTTATATATTCTGAAAGGAATTTGGTTACTCTATAAATGGATTTTTTCTTTTTATAGCTAGCCGTATGCGTATAAAAACGTAACGGCCACTTTTTACTTTTTTCATTTTTTGGGCAGATCGTCGGCGAAAAACTTCGAAAGGCTGTGCCTGCTTATCGTTAGATGTTACTAAAACATAGGGCGTATGTTTAGATTAATCCTGTGTATCACATATAGGTTTTTTGTCCAAAAACAAAGCATAGGCCAAAGATAAAAGGAGTATGTATGCACTATACATACCCCCAAACAAAAGATATTTTTACGGTATTATTATCCCTAGAACACATTTCTATTTTTAAATTCTATTCTGTGCTATCTTTTGCAATTTGCAACATAAAATGCGGCTCGCAAAGTGACGGAATTCATAAATATTTGAGCCAGTTTGCCAAAGATTCTCTGACGACCACTTTATACGCTCTGAATGGTTTCTTGGATACATTCGTTGCAGAAACGTGATGTTTCAGATATGTTGCATTTTGAGTAGTACTGTTTTTGGTACGATACATCAGTTTGTCGGGAAAATAATGAGCACAACCTCTTGTCGCTGAGGTTTGCCTTTGCCGCGAGACAATTCATTTTCTCGACGGCGATGCCATTTTCGATGCGACTGAGTGCTCATTATTTTCCCGACAGACTGGCGTAAAAGCGATAAAAATAGCTCATTTTAGTATGTATGTATTTTGAGCCGGCCCAAAAAACTACAAGAACCTTTTGGCCATTTATAGTTTTCCTGGGCTTTTGATGCGTTGTGACGTAGCAATCATTTGATTCGCTAACTCTCTGCCCATAAAAATCTGCTTTGCATAATCCGCCTAAAGCAAGGAATCCGAGCCCAATACGGAACTCTGGTCACAGTTCCGCAAAAAGAAACGTTTTTTATTCCTAAATTATGCAAGAAAAAGGAAACAGTTCTGCTGTTGGCACTTTGACCAGTTGTTCTTGAAGTGACGGGGATGGGCTATAGCGCGGTAGAAATTGTTATTTGGTTGTGGCGTTTTTTGTTTTAATTTTCGGCTGGGTTTGGCGAAATTAAAAAGTTATGGCCAATTAAAATCCGGTCGAAAGATTGCCGCACCCTGTAGATTTTTGAGACTTTTTTGTGCGTGGTGATGCCCACGTTGTATCCGTCTGTCGGGAAAATAATGAGCACCCACTCGCATGGAAAATCTCATTGCCGCCGAGCAAATGAATTGGGTTGCGGCAGAATTAAATCGCTTTTCACTTCAGCGACGCAATTGGAACAGCGACATTGTGCTGATTATTTTCGCGACAGAAGGATTTGTGGTTTTTTTGTTTTGTACTGCTCTTGTTTCCATGGGAGGTGTGACAAGCTTTCCGCAGAATGCAGACATGTTGTCTTTCATGCTACATGTTTTTTCTTCCAAGAACGGTAGATTGGAGAAAAATCAGTGGGTTGTAGACGAACGATCTTTTGTCTTTGACCAGAAACGGTAAACATGCATGTCATTTAGTTCCCTATTCTTTGTGTTACCATATATTATGAAAATATCCTTTTCAAATAGACCATGAAAAAAACAAATCCGGGCATAGTGGTTTTAGAACAATGGGCAAGGCCACACATGGGTCATAACAAATTTTGAAAAAAGCTCGGGATGAAAGGCCAAATGAAGATAGCCGTGATGTGGTTTCGGCTCTCTGTTTGAGTCTTCGAAGCCGGATCTAAAATTAATTGATTTTCTCTGGGCCTCGGTCGTCTGTGGAAAGCATAGGCTACTTGAAAAGTTTAAAACAGCATACGACCTGTGCCCATGTTGTGTGCAAATTATAAAAAAAAATATAAACGCTGAACTTGGGCTACTTGACAAAGGTGTTAACTATTTTTAACACCTTTTCAGATTCAACATTTAAGCGTTTTAACGTCATTGTTTTTCCAGTTTATTGTATGTTTTTACAGCGGTTTTGCGCAACAATGACTTTGCATTGTATTGCAAATCGCTACAATTATGTGGCTATATATTTCCACAAGGTTGTAATGCTGAAAATTGTAGGACTACCTACATTTGCTTTTTACATTGTAAACGACAATTCGTTTTGTGTTTTTCAATGAGCTTTCTGTTTGTGCAAACTAAAACTGTAAGTGGCCTACTGTAGCCCGCAGCCCGAAGCTTTCGGTAGCGCTGGAGCTGTCTGGCGCTTCGCCCATTTTACAGACCGAACTAGACACTACGCTTTCATGAATAGGTAAATTAATTAGCACAATATGCTGCAAAATTCAAAGTGCGGGTACCATATTTGGTGGACAAGAAATGGGGTGTTTCAGCTTTAATTTGATATAAATTTTATAGAAATTGGTGCATTATTGGCCGAGAAATACCTAAAAAGAGGTTGGGAGTTTCGAGTGGCCCACCCTGTATATCTGATCGACGCATTTCCAAAAATTTTCTTATTAGCGATCTGTCGGGAAACCAGTGACAGGTCGTCGCGTCTTGGAGTCACCCATCATCGCTTCCCGCCGGCTTGTCGTAGGTTTGATGCAACGACCCGCCACTACTTTCCCTACAAGATGATAGTTATTTACTTATTTCGTCATCTCCCCCATGACCATAAAGATTTGTAGCTGTACATCGCGCAAGATGTTTATACGCATCATGCTTAATAGTGCATTTATAAAGCTCCGGTTGTAGGGACGAATCTGAGGGCAATGTGCAAGCCTTGTGTTGCTTTACAAACCGTTGTGCCACTTCAAGTTTGACATCACGTGCTCGTGACGTCGGCTTTTTATTACGGTCGGAAATTGATACATTTTGCGAGATGACCAACGAAAATCTTTGCATCAGGATTCAGGGAAAATAATGAGAATTCTGTCGCATCGAAAATGGCATCGCCGAGAAAATGAATTGTGTCGCGCCAAAATCAAAATGTGCTTCACTTCAGCGACCCGATTGGCGCAGCGACGTGCTCATTTTCAGTCTGTCGGGAAAATAGTGGCGGGTCGTCGCAGCAAACTGATTTACCTTCAGTTTGCTGGGTGTAGTCGCGCATCAAATCGCCAGTCGCAGCCAGCTGTCGCAAAGCAATGATGGGCGGTTCCAAGGCGCAACGACCCGCTATCAATTTCCCCACAGGCTGATACAGTGGGGGACCTGATCCAGGGGCAAAAAACGTTCCATTTTGCATCCAGGAAGCATCAAAAAGTATGGCAAAACACCTCCCTCTCCAACTGAAAAAACTCAGATTTCAAAAGCGCGCCCCCTCTTTTTTTTTGAGGAAAGAAGGCGCGCCCTGCAAAACGAAGCTTTTTCACTTTGAGAGGGAAGCATTTTGCCACATTTTTGATACTTCCCGAATGCAAAATGGTACGTTTTTTGCCACTGGATCAGGCCCCGCACTGTATTCCCAACGAAACTATCAAAAAGGGATAAAAAAGTGATTCGTTGGGTTTCGCTGTACGGAAGTTTACTATGGCCAAAACTTGGCTCCCCAACCTCTGACGTGCAATGGTTTTTCGTAGAGAAGTTTCACTGTAGGCACAAGAATGTGGTTTTTGAACGTCAACAATTGTTTGCAGTGACGGCAAACATGCTCCCTTAATCTTTTCAAGTGGCATTAAACCTCAACATACGACTTTGTAAAATGCCTTTCCATTTTATGTGTAATTCAAACAATGTCAACTGACTTCCTCTCCACAGCTTTTCATAATCGGATTGATGCGCTTTGTCACCGCGTTTGCACCCTTCTCTAAACAAAAGTGTAACATACGTACGAATTTTTAATTTCATTTCTGCCACGCTTTGATGGGATCGCATTAAAAATCGAAAATTTCGTAAACTCTGAAGCAATTTAAAAAGTTGGGTGGCATTTGGCAATAAGCTATTGCATTGTTTATTACGCTGTGTAGGTTGTTACTCATAACACACGATTAGTTCCCCCGCTTTCGTATTGTACGTGAGGGTTACAACAAAATTGCGAAAAGAGGATTGTTATTGCAAACCCGTCGAGGGTTTGCCTTCAATTCATATTTAGAATGTACTACATTCTGCTATTTGCGTCGTGTACGCCACGTACCTTCTTCAACAGTGCTGGCATTTTAGTGAAAATTGCATTGCCGTGCACACAATAGTGGCGGCTTGAACCTTTATTCTATTACTTGAGTTAGTTTTTCATCAAATTATGTGTTATATCGTACGGTACATCTTAATATAGGAGTTTTATGATGGCATTACAGCTGCGAATAAAATTAAGGTCATAAGTTAAAATTTTCGTGATGATGACTGTATATGATTGCGTAAAGGCCAAAGAATTAAAATTGTAAAGTTCATAGAAGGTGGGGGTGCATGACCGCTGAAAAAATGCGTTTTTAACCCGACCATCTGGGCTGCAAATGTCAAGCATGACTCCGCGCTGGACAGGGCTTGTAGTTTAGTCGGCTTGGCTCTGATTTGAGTCTTTTGGCCGGTTTCCTTGAAATCTCTATTTTTTTGTAAAATAGGTAAAACGAAATTTTTTGTTAACTTTTCGCTTTTTGTTTGAAAACGATGCTTGTAGCGGATTGCAAGGAAGCTTGTTTATTGGGCGTTAGCCTAGATGATAATGGTTCATTCTTAACCACATTTTTAAAAAGTTCTGGACTTCTGAAAAAAATTGAGGGCAACCGCTTACCAGTCCACTGGGAAGATAGCGAGCGCAATGTTGCCGTTAAAACTTGCGACAAAGATTTCGTTGCAACGTACAGGCATGTCAAGGCTTTTGGACCAACCTATCTATATATCTGTCTGTCGGGAAAATAATGAGCACAATGACACATGGGAAATCGCTTCGCTGCCGAGAAAATAAATTGTGTCGCGACAGAATTAAATTCCTTTTTACTTCAGCAACGGGGTTATTTCAGCGAAATTGTGCTCATTATTTTCCCGACAGACTGATAAATAGGCTGCTCTGAAAGCCAACGTTCTTTACCTGTAGCCTCAACACTTCCCATCATTGTAATGCGGTTGCGCTGATCGGCTGAAGAGGAAAGAAATTTGATTTTGCCGCATCACAATTCATTTTCACGGCGGCGATGCGATTTTCTCTGCGACATTTTGCTCACTATTTTCCCGACAGCTTGACAGTTTAAAAAATTTGGACCGGGCCCAATTCCTAAAATTTTCCAGACGCCCCGACCAAACTCGCAAATGTCGGCCCGGTTTATCCTCTCGTGCCGTAACCGATCATTGGATTGTCTACGACGTTCTCATTTGCAATTTGCGCTCACTTCTGTTTTTCACGCCAATCCTTGCATTTCCAATGTCCGACGAACTTTGCGCTAAATTACAACTCACTCCCATTGCAGCTGCTCTTTATTATTATTAATGTTGTTATCCGTTGTTTACATTTTTCGGCGACCTCGGGATCACTTTCTTAGAATTAATTGTAATTTACAAAATGCATACGGTAAAGTTTGCTGGGCGTTCCGAAAAGGAGTGGCTTTTGAAACACGTATGATTTCTATGTATTCTCTTCCAAACAATTGTAGGTTGCACTAATTTTGCGAGTGCCCATGGGCGGCTGAGGCTAGAAAACAGTGTTGCCAAAGTGCAAATTGAATTTGGATTTGATATTTAGAATGGTGTTCGTGGGAACGTTTAATTTTATCAAAAATCCATTTAAAAAAAGGGATTTTTGATATTTTTTGGGTTAAAACTATCTTGAGTGATGCGTGGCTAGTGGCGGTTTCAGCAGTAGTAAATATTAAGGCTGCAGTTACTTAAGTTACCGTAATGAACCTTCAAGTCTCAACCCTGAAAATACGCCTGACTTAGGGTCCACCCTAACCATGAGACTGCGCCGATCGCGTCGCCGCGGTGAGAAATACACACAAATCTTGACTTACCGCGACATAATCAAGTTTCTTAGCGATGTTGCGATTTACGATGCGACAGGGAGTTCACTAGGCCAAGCGTTTGTATGATATCAGTCTGCTGGGGAAATAACGGCGGGTCGTCGCATCAAAATGTCGAAAAAAGGTGCAGTCGCGCACAAATCCCTAGCTGCGGCTTGCCGTCGCTAAGAGACGATGGGCGATTCCGAGCGCGACGACCTGCCGTTTTTTTCCCGACAGACTGATATCAGTCTGTAGGAAAAATAGGGGAGGTCATGACGCCTTGGAATGATTCACCGCTTTGTGACGGCTAGCCGCGGCTGGAAATTTGGTGCTCGACGCAGATTTTTTTGTCGCGACGCAACATTTTCTGCGATGACATGTCACAAGTTTCACGACAGGCTGATAAGCACAAATATTAGTCCTTCTTTAAGGTCGCTGGAATGATTTCGGCGGTGTGTAGTACTGTATTACTCTGTATGTATCCAAAGTTGGCCTGAATTGGACTTTCGGCCGAGTTAGATTAGAGAACTGCGCGCGCAATTTTTATCGAATTTGCAGATCGTTTTCCCAGAATACACATTTTTCCAACCTTGGGCAAATGAGGTCGAAAAAAAATTAATGAGGTCGAAAAGTCAAGGCAAACCCTCTCGTAAAAACTCTTGCCTTATTCCACGCGATTATGCCAATTCTCAGAAACGTTTATCGCGGATGAGTTCACCCGACCATTGGGTGCGCCAGAGATGTTCGTAGTTTATCTTGTGCATGTCGAATGCAGGCCCCAACGAGGTCTTTAATGTTTGCAAATCTCAGCGACCATTTTTGTCATGTAATTTTAGTAAGTGGCATGTTTAAATGACACGTGTTTCGACAGTATGACGCAAAAAGTTTTTGCTGTTTTTTGGTGTAAATAAGGCGTGTTTAGAAATTGCGATTGGTAGCGTTAAGAAGGAAAGTTTGCGACGCTCGGATTTTCATTAAATGAGGGTTTCTACAACTCGAAGGATTGCCCGGAGATTTCGAAAAAATGACCAAATCTTTTGATATTTTGCATAGTTGTTGCACTATGATCGCTGAATGTCAGCGTGAATTTTTAGTATTGAAAATTACCGTATATGGGGGTTACGGTAGGTACAATTTTCAGAAAGATTGGGTCCGTGTGTAAAAACTACTTATTATTTTCCCGACGGATTGAAATACACTCCCTTTTTAATGTTGCAAACTCATTGATCTTTGATAAAATCCCTTGTACCGCTTTATTTTTATACATACATTCATTATTTGCAAGTTTTTTTAAAATATTTTCATAATGTCGTCTGTTTAACGCCAAAATACAAATCTTCAACTCGGTTGTACTCCTTTCAGGGAACTTGTTTAAACCGCTAATACAGACATGATGAAGACCACCACATTCGCCGCGTTCGTACTCTTGGCCATCACATATGCGCAGTCGTTCTACTTGAAGGGCACGGAAAAAGGGCAAATTGACGTAGGTTGAAAATTTAATATTGTTAATTTGGAAGTGAGTCCAAGGGTTTGGACACTGAGAAATGCACGAATTTGAGATTTTTTTAACAGATTTCAAAGTTGTTTCAGCAAAAAGCCCTGCCGTTCAAGATGATGTTGCCTCCACAGAAAATCGAGCACAAAATAACGCCGCAGTTGTTGCTGGCAAATCAGATGAACGTCAGGAACGCGGTCTACGACTACATGCAGAGGGGGTAGGTCTAGGTTGGAGGAGCAGTGAGGGAAAATAGCAAAAACTATCTGATTTGCGGCAGTATTAGTATTATACTAGTCCTTCTGGGAAGTCGCTGTACTAATCTTTGGCGTGGGCACTGTGCGAAAAGGTTAAGGTGCTAGTGGCAACCCAAATAAAGGCTACGGTGGGGGGCCTGATCCCATGGCAAAAAACGTACCATTTTGCTTCCGGGAAGGATGAAAAAATGTGGCAAAATGCTTCCCTCTCCAAGTGAAAAAACTCCTATTTCAAAAGTCTTTCTGTGAGGGAAAGGGCGCGCCCTTCAAAACGAAGTTTTTTCACTTGATGAGGGAAGCATTTTGCCACATTTTTGACACTTTCCGGATGCAAAATGGTACGTTTTTTGCCACTGGAAGAGGTCCCTCATTGTATTGCACGGTACATAAAGGAAGAAATTGCACGGTGAAAAATGGATTTTTTTGTGTATGGCGCAACAAAATGCTCATGCACTTTATGGAGATACTATAATACAGTATGTGTACTTGAGCCCAGAGGAACCTCTTCAAGTTGGCTTTCGTCATAAATAATGGACCGAGAAATTTTTCTTTTGACCGGTTTCTTAACCGATTTGGCAAAACCCAACTGTTTTTTTTTCCAAATTTCACCGTTTTGAAGCTTTCTAAATATTTTTCCAAAAAATTTGAGCGGTAATGCCTGTAACTTTCCTTCATTTTTTTGCAAGAGATTATAATATTTTTCCGATAAACCTTTGGACAAAAAGCCAAATTGAACAATTCCCTTCTCAATATGACGCGTGTTGCTCGAAATGATGGCTCGAAATACATATATCCATATTACATACACATATGTTATAATATTTACAAGCCAATCCCGCAACTTTTCAGTTTCCTCCCAATGATGGGTCCCAACGCCTCTCGCCAGTTCAGACAACGAATGCCGTTCGACGATCCCCGTCTACAAGTTGTTGACGGCATCTGATAGTTTCTCATCCTTTTCTCTCAAACGGTTTGTTTCGTAAGCGGCCAAGGGATACGCACGGCGGCGGATGAGAAAATATGTTGGCATTGCAGTTCATATTCTGTGTTTGTTTATTAGATAAAAGGTTTTTGAAGATGGAGAAGGTTTTTCCCGTAATGATCAGTGAACCGAGAACAGCATTGGTGAAGTAATGGAAAAGTCGGAAGGATAATCAGAGCTAGTAATCTAATGTAGAGGTTCTTGAGATCACAAAAGTCAGTACAATAATATCACACGCTGAGGAAAAAAGGGGGTCTTATTTTACAGCGGGGGTATCACCGTCGGAAAAATAGTGGCGGTCGTCGAAGAAAAATGTCAAAAAAAAGGTGCAAGAGCGCACCAAATTTCCAGTTGCGGTCAGCCGTCACAAAGCTATGATGGGCGATTTCAAGACACCACTATTTTTCCGACAAATTGACACTGAGAGCATCATTTTCGTTGGTACGGAGACTGAATTGCAAAATGACTGAATCGCAAAAAAAAAAATTTATCGTCGCATACCGCTACGAAGCCTTGGCTTGCTTAGGCTTAATCTTGCACTAAGCCTATGCTTAGACTTGCTTAGGATCGATAGGTTTGCTTAGGCGGACGCTCACGATATCTAATCGTATTATTTGTTACTTTTACCGCACTTGGAAACACTTGCGATTCGTCATTTTGCGACTCGGTTAGGCAAATCTCCTCAAGGAGCCTCTGATTTTCACAACGTTAAAACAAACTGTAACTCAAGTACTCAAGAAGTGAACTATAATATATAGTAGTATCAGTCTGTCGGGAAAATAATGAGCACAATGTCGCTGTGTTGATCGTGTCGCTGAAGTTAAAATCAAGCTGATTTTACACCACAAATTTTATTTTCTTGCGATTTTCGATGCGACAGCGTGATCATTATTTTCCCGACAGATTGTTTGAAAATTCTCGTAAAATCCTAAATATGAGTCGGCAGACTCCCTGATCTCGGATATCTCATATCAAACACTGTTCCGTTCAAGCAAATGCTCTCGCTTTTCCGCCGCGCCAACTCTTCTTCGTCGACTATGACGCAGTGAAGAATGTCCAACTCCTCGGTGACTATTCGTCGTGTGAATAGGTAGTGAGTTATCAACGAGACTGAGACGGAGATCGCCAGTGAAATGAGCATCGACATTGACTTGAAGGGGAAATATTGTACGTTGGTGGCAGCGTCATAATATGGATAGTGGATGAGGGCTGGTAGATGCAGAAGCGGCTCGCCGCCGCTGAGCCGGAGGATCATTCCAACTAAAGGTGAAAAGTAAGTAAAAATTAGGAGAAAAGTTATTGTTATTATAGTATTAGCTTGTCGGGAAAATAAGGAGCATTATATCGCATCGAAAATTGCATTGCCGCCGAGAAAATGAATTGTGTCGCCGCAAAATGAAATTTCCTTTCATTCCAGCGACGCGATTGGCGCAGCGACAGTGCGCCCATTATTTTCCCGACAGACTGACATTTTCATAAAGTGCATACTAACATATTATATACTATACAGAAACAAATCACAGTAAAAGCGCCACAAACGGGCTTACTCACCAAGGTACCCCGCCAAGCATCCATACGTATTGCTTTTTTCGAAATAAACTACACACAATAGCTGCGGAAACAGGATCACATATACCAGATCAGCGCATAGATACCACAGCGCGTAAACGGAGTGGATAGTCAACGCCATCATTGTTGCCAACACCCCGACCATGATGATTGCAAATCGCATAATGAGAATGACCTCGGATTCGGTCGCCTGAAAGTAGTAGCTTTTTGATTACCAGTTTCATTAGGTCTATATGTAATGCCTCGTATAAACTGCTTACCATTGGATGAATCGTCAGTTTCCAGATGTTGTGAGAGAACATCGAAGCCGCCGAAAGTACCGACGAGTCGGCCGATGACATTACAGCGGCCGAAACCGCACCCAACCCAAGAAAAGTCGCCCACTTGGGCGTCAAGTACTGCAGAACCAACGGAACCACCATACTGCTCTGTTCCAGTGGGATATGCTCCAGTTTGGTCGCATTATTGTATGGGCGATAGTCGGTCAATCGCCAATCTGTATTCCTGGCGATTGCGCCAATCAAAGCCGGCGGGATCGCCATTACAATGCAGCCAGCGCCGGCGGCGTACGACAGCATTTGAGCGCCGCGTGAGGTCTTGGAGGAGAGGACCCGTTGGAAGTACACTTGCCATGGAATACCTCCAAATATGGTGAGGAGCATGTTGTCCCACCAAAGGAAAATATCCGGCCACGAACCGCCCACCTCGCCGATCCATTGCGAGGGGTTGTGCAGGATGCTGGATGTTTTGTTCTCGAGTACGGCGGCGGGAATTGCAGCCCACTGAAAGTGTGTACATAGTTGCATTTGTCTATTATTATTATGCTTTTTCAAAAGTGCGTAGACGTTTCTCTAAGTACAAAAAGTATATAGCGCAACTTACCAGTCCAATAAATATACAAAATAGTTGAACAACATCTGTGTATGCCACTGCGTACAGACCGCCAAACAGAGTGTACGCCACGGCAATGAAGGCCGAACTCACCACCGACGCTGTGATATCCATGTTCAAGATTACAGCCAGAGTTGAGCCTAACAAAAAGAGGCACAGTCAGAGAGTGATGGGGCCTTACCGAGTGCGCTCAAAATGGCGGCCGACCAAAAGATCTCGCCCAACAAGGCCGGGATAAACATCAGCCCACCGACTCGTTGACCGTACTTTTGTTGAAATGGGTCCAGCATGGTGATGTAGCCCTTCTCTCGCATGATTTTCGCGAACAAAATTCCACCGAACATCAAGGAGAGCGCGTAGCCGACCGGCGCTTGACACCCGAGAATCCCGTTTTTATAGAGCGCTTCGGCCGTGCCGTTGATGTAAGCGCCTCCAACCCAAGTTGCTGAAGAATGGAGGATGATTTTTTTCAAGGAAATAAGTACCTTGCGGTAAAAAGTCTTGGGAATTTTTTGCGAAAAATAAATTTTACTTGAACTACTAGTTGCGCCATAAAGTCCGCAGAATTTTTTCGGCGACGTCACAAAGTGTGCTCGCAGAAAAGTTCATGCCGCTAGTGCAAAAACGGGAGGGCACGGGCGAAAAAGGGTATGAACACACCCTGCAATATTCTGCGGACTTCATGGCGCGACTAGCGTTCCCCGAAAAGATGGGAATCGAGCGCGGCGTAGCGCAAAAAACGGAATTGCACAGTGCAAAATGGTGTTTTTCGGAGAGAAATTCTGTGTTCAACTATCGCATAAATTCTCACAATGCAGAGTCCCAGAAAATTCCCAAAAACTTTTGCCGAGTTCCTCGCAACATACCGGTCATGGTGAAGATCCCCACGACTGTCCCGATATTCCGACCGGCCAGCATCACTTCGGCTACTTGTTCCCCACTCTTCGTCTTGGTTTTGTCCGTCTTCTTTCCGGCCCATATCCCCACGCCGAGAATGAGGAGGTAGAAGAATAAGATGGCCGATATCCCAATCCAGTCCGTCATTACGTAGCCGTCGAGGTCTTCTGTTCTGAAAAAGCAAAAAAAATGGTAAAAGTGTATAGTAAGATCGATAAAGTAAAATTCATATGACATTTACTATTAGTCGTTCTTCAAAGTGCGTAGACTTTTTTCGGCCTTTTTTCGCATCGCACGGTGCATGTTGCGCGACGCTATCCTTTTTGAAACATTTGGCACTGTGAAATTTCTTTTTGCGCCGGCTCCCTTGAGAAAATCTTGCGTCGCTGCGATATTGCACTTGCACTGTTCAGAGGGTCAAATTCACGCCGCAAAAAATGGGTTTTATGCACGACGCGGCTTTCATCAAAAAGTCTCCGCACTTTCTGAAACCACTAGACAAATCCCTTCGCGTCTTTGAAGCAATTTTTGCGACATGCACGGTGCAAGAAAGTCATTGTGCGAGCGACGAAAAAAAGCCTATTGCATGGTGCGAAAAGCCACAAATTGCACAATGCCAACAAAACCTTTGTTTTCTCAAAGTTCATGCCGCTGAAATTACTCCAGCAACTTCCCCAACAGACTAGTAGCAATAAAAAATTTATATGACTTGCACTATATGTATGTATGAGCTCAAAAAGCTCGAGCTACCCAGTCAACCCAAGTCAGCGTGGAATGAGCTCTCTTTTCGTATCTTTGCGCGCTCGGCGTTCGTTTCTCACAAGACGAATAACCGAGTAACATAATCCCACAACCCCTTCTTACAGCTTATGCTTCCGGTGTTCGTGGTCCTGCATGTTTTAGCCGCTAGAAAATATCCGCCAGAAAAATACACTGTTGTAAAAAATAGCCCTCAAGAAATAGTCCTAGAATTTCTGGTCTTACTGTAGAATTAGCTCAATTTTCCGGCTCATACACAGAATGCGAGGGCGGCCGCAAAGCAGCCCCAACCGAATCCTCTATAACCTTCCATCGCGCCCTTTATATAGGGCTGCGAGCAAAAGTTGACCCTTTGACCTCTCATAATCCCAGAAGAAGTTAGGCTTAACAAAGCTGAGGATGGACAAAGACGTCCTTTATCTTATGCCGGGTTGGAAAAAGCGGAATCCCAATTTTTTCCCTCCCTCCCTACGCTCGCTTTTATGACGAGGCGCAGACACTCGGAGGGTTCGCCGAAATTCATGTAAACGCTTTTTTTCGCTTTTGAGGTTTGAGCGAACACAAAGAAAATCTGATTTAGAACGTACTCAGGAGAGCTCTAGTGCTTGGCTTTGTCTAAACCAAGAGCCGGTATTAGTCTGTCGGGAAAATAGTGAGCCCTCTGTCGCATCGAAAATCGCATCGCCGCTGAGAAAATGAATTGTGCCGCGGCAAAATCAGATTGCTTTTGGTTTAAGTGACGTCATCGGCGACATTTTGCTCATTATTTTCCCAACAGAATGGTGTAAAATTTTACGTAGAAGGTTGAAGTGCAAATCAGGTTGATTAGGAATGGCATGACTAAACGCGTGTTATTGTTATTTTCATAAAGTGCATGGACATTTGTTCTCTTTCGCACAGTGCATTTTGAACTTTTTCCCACATCTGTCGATAATGCACGGTGCATTTCCCTCCTTTCGCACAGTGCAAACTTCAAAAAAGCTGTTTGCACTGTGCAGATTCAGCGACGAGGTCAAAACTTACTTTTGTCGCGGCGAAATTTCAAATGCACAGTGCAAAAGACAAGAAGAAAAAAAGTTGAAATGCACGGTGCAAAATGAGCCTGTTTTATGCCCTGAGTTGGCCAGCTAAAAAATGTCCACGCACTTTATGAAAATACTAAAATTGGCCATGATACTGTGTGTCCCATAAATTTCGCATAAAGAAATCGTGACATAAACATTCAAAAGAGCCCCCACGACTTCTGAAAACTATGGCAACATCCTCGGTTCCAAAACGGAAAGAACATAAAAAAAAAAACAACATTTCCGCGCACTTGTAAAATGATGTATTGAAATTGGATAACAAACCCAAATTGACTTACGTTTTCGGGTACGCAATCTCACATCGGAAGCGGCAGCGCGGCGAAACGGCCATTCACAGAGACAAAGGCGTCTAAATTTGGATTCAATCAGGCAAAGTTGGAACAAAAAGAAAACACTGTTTTGGGGTTTGTATGACGAGCTATGATGTTATGACGATATAGGAATGTGTGTCGGGAAAATAATGAGCGGAATGTAGTTGCATCGTTGAAGTGAAAAGAAAATTTGATTTTGCCGCCACACAACTCATTTTCTCGGCGGCGTTTCGATGCGACAGAGTGCTCATTATTTTCCCGACAGACTGAGAGCCCGTTCATAAAGTCGTTGGATTTTTTTCTGCGACGTTGTACAGTACAATTTGTTGCTTTTTGTACCGTTTTTCTTTTTTAGATTGTCTCTTGCACTCTGACTATCAGTTTGTCGGGAAAATAACGGCTAATCGTCGAAGCAAAATGTTTCTCCTCGTCAAAAAAGGGTTCTGTCGCGCAGTAAACCTCCAGCTTCGGCAGCCGTCGCGAAGCGATTATGGGGGATTCCGAGGCGCGACGATCCGCCCTTATTTTCCCGACAGACTGATATTTTGACTAGTGAATGTCGAAAAACTCACTCCAGCTACTGTCAGAACGGACTGCCAGCCTGTCGGGAAAATAACGAGCATTCTGTCGCATCGAAAATCGCATCGCCGAAAAATGAATTGTGTCGCGGCAAAATCAAATTGCTTTTCATTTCAGCGACGCTATTGGCGCAGCGACATTTCGCTCATTACTTTCCCGACAAACTGATACTAGTAGTATATAACAAATGGTAATTATCGAACCGCATTTTTAATTTTCAGTAGTCGATTTTTCGAGCTATTTTGCTTTTAAAACCCAAACTTTTTTATCTTTACTTGTTTGTTCTTTTCACTTCATTTCAAATTTTCGATTTATCACAGTAAAATCAAGAATACGATATTGATGATTTATCAAAACGTCCTCAACTTTCGCAGCCAATTAACCGCGGTTGAGCGGTCAAATTCCCAAATCTGGTCAACCTAATAATCTATGTAAAATTTGAGCATGGCTCCAAAGCGAGAAGACACTTTTTACTCTGTTCTGCGTTCTCGGGATGTCAAAAAATGTACGCAAAATGTAGGAAAAAGTAAGGGGGTTTTATTTCTCATCTCTCTAAAATTGACTTTGATCGCAGCAAAAATATCTATAATCAGCCTGTCGGGAAAATAATATGGATCTGTCGCAGCACAATTTTTGCATAAAGCACCAAACTTCCAGCCCCGGCCAGGCGTCGCAAATCGATGATGGACAATTTTCAAGGCACGACTAATCCACATTATTTTCCCGACAGACTAATAAAGTGCATGGACATTTGTCGCGGTCCGCACTGTGCACAAAAAGACCCTATTTTGCACCGTGCATTTCACCTTTTTCTCTTGGTTTCGCACTGTGCATTTGAGATATCGCAGCGATGTCAGCTTTTTTCAGCTGCGCCGTCGCGGTTTTGATGTCGAATTTGCACTGTGCAAATGGACTTTTTGTGGTTTGCACTGTGCGAAAAGAGAAAAATGCACTGTGCTGGCGACAAGCGTGGGAAAACGCTCAAAATGCACTGTGCGAAGAGAGCAAGTGTCCATGCACTTTATGAAGATACTAAAACTCCGTCGGGAAAATTACTCATGTCCGATTTCATTTTTTTGCGACAAAACTGAATTTTATCGACGGCGATGCGATTTTCAATGCGACATTGCGCTCATTCTTTTCCCGGCAAACAGATACACATGACGTCAGAATGCAGAGAAGCTTTGAGCAAATCAACGGCCCCTAACGAGTACACAGATTTTACCACACAACAAACAACCCATAAATTGTCACGCAAAGCCTACATCTCACAATGACATCCGATCCCAAAATCAAAGCGTGGCTAACAAGCCCGGAGGCGTCAGAAGCGCAAAATGTATGCGGAAGCAGCCGCCGTTGAGCGGAAATGTCAAAACCGTTCCGCAAAAAAACGCTTCCGTTCCAAACGAATTTGAATTTGTTCTACATTCCCATCGACATTGTGGCATTTATTGCCGAAAAAGATGATTAAAGGAAGATAAATTTGGGGGGCGAAAAAAATGTGAACGATGGCATCTTGACAGCTCGCAACGGGTCTCCGGAGACATCGCTTGTCATCCGGTCCGACATTGACGCGGGACGCATTCGATACGTGAGGAGTTGAAATGTGGGGGTGCAGGAGGCGCCATGTAGGCGAGTGAAGATGGAGAAAACGAGATTTTATTACTGTACCCTGCAGATCGGTGCATATCCGTAGTCAAGATGTTTTGAAAAGCAACTTGATTTTTCGAGGCACAATTCATTTTCTCTGCAGCGATGCGAGTCTCGATGCGACAGAGTGCTCATTATTTTCCCGACAGCATACGGAAGTGTTTAAGCTTACAGGAGTTTGCTGCGGTCTCCAGAAGCGGAAGAACTCACAGACAACTGCTTTGCCAGAAAAAGGATGAGCACTCCGTCGCACCGAAAATCGCATCGTCTCCGAGAAAATGAATTGTGTCGCGGCAAAATCAAATTTCCTTTCAATTCAGCGACACGATCGGCGCAGCGACATTTTGCTCATTATTTCCCCAACAAACAATAGTTGTTTATACATATAACGAAGTCTTGCGTCAGTCAGGTTCATGAACTTTTTTCTTCATTAATCCCAAATATTGCCCGCACTTTGACCGCAGAATGTGGCCAAAAGATGTTTTTTTTTCATATTCCCAACCTGTAGAGTAATTTCACAAACATGAAAATTTTGTATTTACACCTGCATTGAATAAAAAATCAAACAACGAATCCAGCAGGAAGCTTACTCACTTGGCATTAACCGTCTGACGCTACCCCAATGCGCTTGCCGGATTTTATTGAAAGCGAAGAGAGAAGAAATCGGACCTTTTATCTTCGCCAATGGCTCTCAGAACCTGATGACGATCCCGGCTTCCGGATAGCGCTGTATTCCACCGAGTTGTTGTTCGAGTTTGCCTCGGTACCGATTGGTCTGGTTATTGCAATATGCATATATCGCACGCAGACTTTCCATCCTAATATACGGTTAATCATGCTAAACGACATCTTCAGTGGGGTTGTGGAGGTGAGTTATTAGTCTGTCGGGAAAATAGTGAGCACTGCGAAGGCATTACTTTTCGTGATACAAAAACCAATTTGATTTTCCCGCGACACGATTCATTTTCTCGGCGGCAATGCGATTTTCGATGCGACAGAGTGTTCATTATTTTCCCGACAAACCGATATGTATTATGTATTTGTCAACAGTAGAAGAAGATCTGACATAAAGCCACCGCTATTTCAGATGATTTGCCGGTTCGCGGTTGTCGCAAATTTCCTGTCAAAGAGCACCCTTTTATCGGTAGCCACAATCGACACCATTCAATATTATCGCCCGCTTTTCATATATCAAGTGCAGTTCAGTTTCCTCAACTTGTTGTGGGAGCGAATGCTAGCCGTCCGTTTCCCCGAAAGATACGAGAAGGCCCCGATTTCCATTGGCATCTGCATATTGATCGTATGGGTAAGAGTTCGCTATGTTCTAATATAATATTACATATACGTGATTGCTTAACCTAAAAAGCGATGTTAACCCAATGTTTTCAGTGGATTTTCATTGCGTTCCTTATCTACGTCGTATGTAAGTTCTGATGGCGAGGAGTCTGACGCGTTAAAATTTCAGCTCCGGTGATATCGGGTGCGCTCGGGTTCATTGTTCACATATGCGTAAGTTTAGACACTTTTATCAGTCTTCCGGGAAAATAGTGACCGGTTGTCGCGCCTTGGAATCGCCTATTATCGCGTTGCCTACGGCATGCCGCAGTTAAACGTGGCTTTTCAAATAAGCTCAGGCCCGGCCCAGTCGGCTGAAAGCCCTTGCTTTAATAAAATTGTGATAAATTTCTTTTGTTGATCTGAAAATTCAACTTGCTTGACAGCGTGGGCCCGATTTTTTGCTGCGACGATCCGCCACTACTTTCCCGACAGACTAATAAATCACCGTCCTTTTTCAATTTCAGGCACTCGGATTGACTCGACACTGGATAAAGATGCAAAGAGCATACCCGAAATCGACAGCCAACCTGTCGACCCGTTATCAAATCTCAGAGAATATCAAGACACTGCTGATGTTCCGGTATTGGGTCTACTTCTACGTTGCAATGAGCGTTATTGAGAAAATCTTCTTGCTTTCTGCCTACATCTGCTTTTTGAAGACCCAGAAGGGAATTTGGCACGTTTTCTGCAACCTGTACGACCTCTCGCATGCCTTCTACGTCTTTGCTTTTCCCGCTTTCCTCCTGTACGGGAGCTCGAGCTTGCGCCGGCACTTGGCCAACCTGTGCGGTCGGAGGAGTCGGATGATCCGAGCGTCCGAGAAGCAGGTTCGAATCGAGAACAGTCGGTTGGTGAACAGTGAGGACATGAACAGTCACTTCAGGCGGCTGCAAGATTCTTGGGAGGGCCCTGTTCAACGGCAAAGACGGGTGTCGCTTCCATTTTCACGCGGGAAATCATCGGTTTGAAACGTATTTATTTACTAGTCCGTCCGAAAAGTCGCCGGACAGAAATCGGCGACATGCACTCTGCGAAAATGAAAGTTCACTTTGCACTGTGCAATTTCATGCCTTTTGCACCGTGCAATAGGCTTTTTTGGGATGTCGCTCGCACCCTGACTTTTTTCGCACAGTGCAAACCCCAAAAATCAGTCCGCCGACTTTCCGGAAGGACTAGTATTTTCTGTGATGTTAGACGGAATGAAAAATGAGATTTTTACAGCATTTTGTTGGGGATATTTCTTGCAACTTCGAGACTAAACAAAAATTGTTTTGTTGACTACTCTTATCAATCTGTGTTTACCCCAAGCTTACATATAAAGGTGGTCATATAAGCGTTTAAAAATTTTTCCTCCCAAATCGCGGTTTTCGGTGCACAAAAAAGTCGACGCCCACATCGAAAAATTGGCGTCAACTTAAGACCCCGATTTTTAACTCGGCACCCAATTCCAAAAATTTTAAAGTGTGCACCAAATTAAGGAATTCGGTGTTGACTTAAGGCTTCGGTGCAGAGTTAGCTTTTTGGGGGAACAGTTGACCCATTTTATATCGGTCTGTCGGGAAAATAACGGCGGATCGTCGCGCCTCGGAATCGCCCATCATCGCTCTGCGACTGCAAGCCGCGGCTTGGGATTTGGTGCGCGATAGCGGCGAGGCGAGACATTTTGATACGACGATCCGCCGTTATTTTTCCGACAGACTGATATTCCTGCTCGAGAAGTTTTTTGTTTTTCGCCAATGTTCAAGGTATTATACATTTTCTGAATGAAGACAACATGGAATTTGTCCAAAAAAAGAATTTTTACCAAGAGCAGGCTGTCCCGTCCGATTTTATGTCTACATAGATTGCCCGTTTCTTTTCCGATAGCCAACCAAATGTTGGTATTTTGTGACGGTTGTTGTGCCAAAGGTAGAATAGGCTTTTAGCTATATTGCAATATAAATTTCGAACCAAAGACAATTCCCTTTCGCTTCAGCGACCCGATCGGCGCAGCAACAATGTGCTCGTTATTCTTTTTTTAGTGCATGGACACTGTCTCAAAAAAATGAATTGTGTCATGGCAAAATCAAATTGCTTCAGGGTTCGGCGACGTGATCGACGCAGTGACATTGTGCTGTTTACTTTCCCGACATGACTGATAGCTGTTTACAGATATAACGCAACCTTGTGCCATTTATTGAACCCGCTTCTCTAGTTGTTTTCCTTTTCGTGCCAAATGTGGTCCGCACTTTGACCGTAGAACGTGCCCAAAAATTTTTTTCCTCATATTCCTCCCGAAAACTGTAGAGAAGTTTCGCGCATATGAGAACTTTGTGTTTACACCTGCATTGAATAAAAAATCAAACAACGAGTGCAGAAGCGAGCTTGCTCAATTTGGCCTTAATCGGGTTTGCTGACGTTCGCCCGATGCCCTTACCGGAATTTTTTCTAACCGAGGAACGGAGAAATCATACCTATTATTTTCGACAATGGCTCTCGGAACCGGACGACGATCCCGGCTTCCGAATAGCGCTGTATTCCACTGAGTTGTTGCTCGAGTTTGCCTCGGTACCGATTAGTCTGATTATTGCGATATGCATCTATCGGACGCAGACCTTCCATCCCAACATACGGCTGATCATGTTGAACGACATATTCAGTGGGGTCGTGGAGGTAAGCTGCCAGCCTGTCGGGAAAATAATTATTTTCCCGACAGAGTGATATACAGGGTGCGGCAATTTTTCGGCCGGATTTTAATTGGCCATAACTTTTTTAGTTTTTATCCGAATGTTAAAATTCTTTTTTTCCCTGAATCAATAGACAACCCCATTTTGTTTAATACCAAATATGTTATACCCGTTCATTAGACTACAGTAAAAATTCGAGACAAAGAAAAAGCTCTAATTTTCATAGCTGACAATGGAATTACCCCTAGTGCGACTCTCAGATTTACTTTAAATTTTGCACATGGGCCAGACATAAGCCGCACATCAATTCCTGAAAGTTTCAGCCCGCACCTTTCAGGGGCGACCAAGATATTCAACGATTCTTTGCGGTCAGGAGGGCACATGAGTGGTCACACAGAAAAACTTTTTGGCTATATATTCGCTAGTTTTCTGCGGAGATAGCTGATTTTTTGTGGAAACGGTATTCTCCATGGCATGAACAGGCATGAAACTTTTTACGACAAAATTCGTAAAAAAAGTCATTTTTTCTGGCGATTTTCACACATGCCGAAAAAGCAGAGAAAACGACCGAAATGCCAATAACTATGAACTAGGTCCCTGTATATGTAACATATTTGGTATTAAACAAAATGGGGTTGTCTGAGGATTCAGGGAAAAAAAGAATTTTATCATTCGGATAAAAACTAAAAAAGTTATAGCCAATTCAAATCCGGCCGAAAAATTGCCGCACCCTGTACACATATCTGTAAACAGTAGACGGATATCTTACTATGCATAAGGCCACTGCAATTCTAGATGATTTGCCGGTTCGTGGTTGTCACGAATGTCCTGTCAAAGAGCACCCTGCTATCGGTAGCCACGATCGACACCATTCAATTTTACCGGCCGCTTTTCATAATTCAGGTACAACTCAGTTTCCTCAACTTGTTGTGGGAGCGAATGCTAGCCGTCCGTTTCCCTGAAAGATACGAGAAGGCGCCGATCTCCATCGGCATAAGCATATTGGTGGTATGGGTAAGGCTCTGTTCTACTTGTGAACGCTTAACTTAAAAAGCGATGTTAACCCAATAATGTTTTCAGTGGATTTTCATTGCGTTCCTGCTCTACGTCGTATGTAAGTCCTAATGACGAGGCGAGCTGATGCGTTCAAATTTCAGCGCCGGTAGTGTCGAGTATCGCCGGGTTCATTATTCACCTATGCGTAAGTTTAGCCACCTTTATCAGTCTGTCGGGGAAATAATGGGATCAGCCATCATCGCGACGACTCGCCTAAGCTAGAGCTGGCTACCTGCCGGTACCGGGGGCTTATCAAAATTACCTCAGTTCGGCCGGGTGAGAGCATCCGATTGCCACGTGTCGGCAAAGCGCGAGCTAAAACGTTCACTAATTATATGTGTCCCATGCCTAGCGCATGTGTAAAGTTTATGGAAAATCTGAACGTCGCACTAGAAAGCCTTCACTTGGAAATCACCCTCCCTTCTCAATTTCAGGCACTCGGATTAACCCGGCACTGGATAAAGATGCAAAAAGCGTATCCCACATCGACAGCCAACCTGTCAACTCGTTATCAAATCTCGGAGAACATTAAGACACTGTTCATGTTCCGGTATTGGGTCTACTTTTACGTTGCAATGAGCGTTGTTGAGAAAACTTTCCTAGTTTTTGCCTACATCTCCTTTAAGAAGACGCAGAAGTCGAGTTGGCGAGCTTTCTGCAACATGTACGATCTTTCGCATGCGTTCTACGTCTTCGCGTTCCCCGCGTTCCTACTGTACGGGAGCCCGAGCCTGCGCCGGCACTTGGCCAACCTGTGCCGTCGGAGGAGTCGGATGATCCGAGCGTCCGAACACCAGGTTCGAATCGAGAACAGTCGAGTCGTGAACAGTGAGGACATGAATAGTCACTTCAGGCGGTTGCAAGAATCTTGGGAGGGCCCTGTTCAACGACAGGGAAGGGTGTCGTTTCCATTCCCATGCGGGAAATCACCGGTTTGAAACGTTTTTATATTTTCTGCAATATTCGGCGGAATGAAGAATGAGTCTTAATTTTTTGGGATGTTTCTTACAACTTCGAGGCTAAACAAAAATTATTTTGTTGAGTACTCTTTTCAATATGTATTTACCCCAAGCTTACATGTAGAAAAGGATCGTAGGAAATGGTTTTTATGGTCTTCATGTATTAGAGGTGGCAATCGGGCCGGGCCGGGCCGATTTTTGCGGCCCGGCCCGTGGGCCGAAGTGACCAGGCCGGCCCAGGGCTTTTTCAAATTTGCTCAGGCCCGGCCCGGCCCGGTGAAAGCCCAGGCCGGCCCGGCCCGGCCCTGTTTGGCCCGCTAATATGTACAAAAAGGTTGGATAAATGTCTTTGAACTTTCTACAGGAAGTTCTTATGCTTTCCAGAAGGTTTTTACGTGTGTATGAGTGAAATTAAAACGTCTGGTCGGATGACTAGAACCGCCGAAGTGGTAGCTAAAACCTAGCAAAAAAGTTGTATTGTGCCGAATTTTTAAATCCTATAGGAAGTTAGGTATGTAAAAACATGGACGTTAGAAGGCTGCATGTTAAATAAAAAACTGTTTAAACACTTTCATTTACATCAAGGCATCAAAGTTACGGTGAAATGTTTAAGTTTATCATCAAAAAATTCGAATATTTTTGCCCGACCCTTGCATATGTGTCTGGGATTTTACATATACATAATCAGGGATTTTAAAGAGTTTTAAAAGGTAGTAAAACAGCATATAAGTCAAAAAGGTTTAATCTAATATCCATCCTCAATTCTGAAATGCATCTGTGCTTTATTTTGCTGGTTTAGTATTAAATTTTTTTTAACTTATCCACCTTCCGGGCCGGGCCGGGCCGAAAGTCACGGCCCGGCCGACGGGCCGAAGCGGTCAGGCCGGCCCGGGGCCTTTTCAAATCTGCTCAGGCCCGGCCCGGCCCGGCCAATCACCGGGCCCGGCCGGGCCGGGCCGGCCCAGCCCGATTGCCACCTCTAGTCATGTATTAATATTTGCAGCGGCTTGTGTTTGGCCCACTGTTTTACTTACTTGGAGTTCAGATTAATCTCATCTAGATCTCCATTTGGAGTAGGTCTGGTATCTATGTATCTGGACGATAGTGGCGGATTGCTGGGTCTTGTAAGCGCCCACCATCGCTTTGCGACGGCTTGCCGCAGTTGGAAGTTTTTTCGACAAGGCGAAACATTTTGCTACGACGACCTGCCGTTATTATTCCGACGGGCTGATACTCTCTTGAAATCAACAGATTGGGACTTGTGGAGATGGATAATAAAATAGGAGAATGTTCCGTAAAACTGAAGTCAAATTTGTCGAGAAGGAAGGGTTCAAAAGAACAGGATCAGGTGAACCGTGGCGTATCGTTTTCAAGGTATATATTTATGATGTTGTGCGCCTTTAATTTCAAACTATGAATGATTTTAAACTTCTGAGAGTCCGACTATAGTTTTTGTTAAATCCAAGAAAGGATTGTTTTCGGTTTGAAACGCACGTGTTTGACATTTGTCATAGGCCAATTTCATTTCAACATCTCGCAAACTTTAGAGCAAATCTGGAAATTCTGTTGTATTTTTGACGTATTTCTCATTCGGAATACGGTATCAAAGTCAAAACAAAAGTTAAAAAAAGCTTTTGCATACTGGAACACATGACTTCATTGTTCACAAGCAGTAGAAATAAAGTTTGTCACATGCGTTGGAGTTTACGACTACAAACACATCTTGAGTTTTGACATTAATATACCGAACAAAATGGTTTTTTAATCTTGAGAGAAGCTGTTTTCTGAAGTTTGCAAAAATGAAAGGAGCCAAGCTCTTGTATATTATTATAATATATGCTATATTTCCAATGCATAAGAAAAAAATACGAATATTTCGGTTTCGTCTTCTCCGCCCACAAATTTATAAATACTTATGTCATAGCATAAAAGTTGTGTCTGCCCTCTAAATTGTATCATGGTCGACGAATTACACCCGCCACAACACCTGGCGTACACGTTATAGCATTTTTTCTCCCTGTTTTCTTATTGTATGTGCATGGCCCAACTGTTCGATTGGCTGGAAAGCGGGGATCGGCAAAGTTTCAACCAGGATTATAGGAAATGGCTAGCCGAGCCGGACCTTCCAGGCCCTCTACGCGCGGCGCTGTACTTGGCAGAAATCGTGTTTGAAGTGTCGAGTGTCCCAGTGAATTTGGTCATTGCGTGGTGTTTGTTTAAAATGACGACTTTCCATCCAAACTTGCGACTACTTTTGGCCAACGATATTTTGAGTGGAGTGGTTGAGGTGAGTAAAAAGATGTTTGTTATTGTACTATTAGGTCTAAAAGTATGACTCCGCCGTTTTTTTGTTTTGCATTTTTTACAGGTTGGAATACAATTTTGCAATTTCTGTTTATATGCTATAAAAGGACGTTGAAAACGCTGTCTAATGATATATGCTTCGTACAGTGAGGCCTTATATGACGGTTTTTATAAAGCTTCAAAGATGATCGACTTCATCTTAAGAAAAGGTGACTTGCGGGAAACTTTATTCTGCACGTGTAATGTGAGGAAAAACGCCGATAACGCATCGAACGTTTACAGAAGCTTGTGCTAGTTGTGCCTTGAGTGAAAAAATCCGGCGGGAATGGCTTCAACGGTTCAAAACCGGTGATCTTCACACCCATCCAAAAAATTTTAAGATGGAGATTATTCGATAAAAACAATCCCCAGACGCAAAAAAAGTTAGCCGTGAAGCTAAAGCTGACTCAGAAAGCAGTTTCACAGAGTCTGCAACAAAAGTGAAAGACGCAGGGAGCAAGGAGTTGGGTACCATATTAATTGACCTAAAACAATATGCAATATTCTGATGGAAAGACAGAAAAGAAATTCTTTTTGCCTCAATTCGTGACCGGGGGCAAACAATAAATGAATTTTGACAACAGTTACAGCCACCGGAATAAAAAAAATTTATCCTGTTTTTTGGTCATTTCAGACTCTATGTTGAAAAACTGGCCAAGGCACGCTAGAACACCTAAGGTTAAAGGTCCTACCCTACCCGCTATACTCTTCTGACACCACACTTTCAGAATAACACTTGTTTCGACCGATGAAACCCGATCTGAGGCAGCAGCGCTTCACTGAATACAAAAATGTCCAAAATTGGCCCGATGACTAAATTGCCTCAAAACAAAAAATCGTTTTCACTGATGGTATTGAAAAGTTGCTCAAATTGTGGGAAAATGTCGTAGTTAATAATGGTAATAATAATTAAATAAGCTTTAATGTAAAAATTTTTTGTTTTGATTAAAATTGTCAAGCCAAAAAAACGGCGGAGTCATACTTTTAGACCTAATATATATCAGTGTGTTGGGAATATAGTGAGGGCTCTGTTGCATCGCCGCCGACAAAATGAATTGTGTCGCCAGGACCCATGAATCGACAAAATCAAATTTCTTTTCACGTCAGCGACGTGGCGGGCACAACGACAGCGCAATCACTATTTTCCCCACAGACTGATGTACTGCAAACGGTAAAGATCACTCCAGCGACGCACGAACTATCAGCTTTCTGGAATAATTCGGTTCGGCGAAGCGCTCATTACAGGGTGCGGCAATTTTTCGGCTGGACTTGAATTGTCTATATCTTTTTTAGTTTTTTGCCAAATTTTAAAATTCTTTTTTCCCCTGAATCCTTAGACATCCCCATTTTGTTTAAAACAGATTTTGCGAGAGACTCGAGCTTTCAGATATGCCTTGTGCACAAAAAACAAGATGTTACAGTAGAGACTTGAAATACCTACCGTGGTTAGCTAGTTACCAGTGTATTAAAATGGGCAGGTCAAATTTTGAATTTTTGGCTTACTGTAGGTATACTGTAACATTTTCAGATTTTTCGTTTCTCCTCGACTAGTTGCCCGATTGACTCCGGACCTTTTCAGGGTTATAGAATGATTGATTCTAAGCAACTTTCATATTGACGCCTTTTTGCTAGGACTTCTGGAAGTGTGCGAAAAATTTGCATATTTAGCAAAAAATTTAAAATTCTTGAATTTTCTTAAAAAATTTGCATACTTGTACATCCTTTTTATTGCTGTAAATAACACTCTATGATGTGGGGATTCCAACGGTGGCAAAATCATGGCTGGGCGGCCTGTCAAGTCTGAGAACGAGGCCTCTAAACATTTGGTCATCACGAAATTTTTTTGTTTCAAAGTTGGATACGTGAGATATCGGGACAAAGTTTAGTTCCATTATAATCTACATAAAATTCTAAGACTTTTAAACCCATTCCCATGAGTCTCAGACCGACCGGTCAAAAGATACGACCAATTTTCGAGATTTTTTATTTTTTTCAATTTTCGCCATAAAGATAACAGAATTGCTAAATTTTTATGGTCAAAACTGAATCAGTGCCCTCGCTGTACCCTCGTACTATATAGTTTTAATCTTGGTCGCTTTGGGCGCTATTCAAAATTTTTTGAAACTTTGGCAAAGTCCTCAAATTTTTGATTTCTTTCTTCACAGGCAAGGTCAAAATTCAAAAAAAAAGCAATTTATCGTATCGTATGTCAAATTTTAAAAAGATACGGCGCGGGTACCACGCTAACTACCCCACAACTACCCCTCCAACTTTTACAACCTCTGGCATCCAACCTAAACATGTCGTGCAAAGGCGACCAAAGCTTTGCCCCATTTCTTTGCACAAAATAGAATTTCCACTTTCATGACGAAATCTTGGTATTTTGATGACACCATTGAATTCAGAACTTCTAATTTAACCTATATGTATATGTGCATAAATCGCTACAATAAAGTTTCATATTTTAGACATTCAGATTTTATCGAGATTCGGGGAGTCCCGAATACTGAGGAAGTTCCATAACTTCCTGAAAATTATGGCAAATACTTTTTTACCAACGTAATACAACTTTAGTCAAAACTCAAAAAAAAAGACGAAAAGGAAATTTTGTCGATTTTATGCGGCCCTTCGAATATGACTTCCGAACGGTTTCAGAATACGAAAGATATACAGGTGTACGTCTGAGTGTTTCTAAAAAATTCACGCAACTCTTTTTATGAATTTTGACCTTGCTGTGAAAAAAGAAATTCAAAATTTGAGGACTTTGCCAAGTTTTCAAAAAAATTTGAATGGCGCCCAAAGCGACCAAGATTAAAACTATATAGTACGAGGGTACAGCGAGGGCACTGATTCAGTTTTGACCATAAAAATTCAGCAATTCTGTTATCTTTATGGCGAAAATTGAAAAAAATAAAAAATCTCGAAAATTGGTCGTATCTTTTGACCGGTCGGTCTGAGACTCATGGGAATGGGTTTAAAAGTCTTAGAATTTTATGTAGATTATAATGGAACTAAACTTTGTCCCGATATCTCACGTATCCAACTTTGAAACAAAAAAATTTCGTGATGACCAAATGTTTAGAGGCCTCGTTCTCAGACTTGACAGGCCGCCCAGCCATGATTTTGCCACCGTTGGAATTCCCACATCATAGAGTGTTATTTACAGCAATAAAAAGGATGTACAAGTATGCAAATTTTTTAAGAAAATTCAAGAATTTTAAATTTTTTGCTAAATATGCAAATTTTTCGCACACTTCCAGAAGTCCTAGCAAAAAGGCGTCAATATGAAAGTTGCTTAGAATCAATCATTCTATATCCCTGAAAAGGTCCGGAGTCAATCGGGCAACTAGTCGCGGAGAAACGAAAAATCTGAAAATGTTACAGTATACCTACAGTAGGCCAAAAATTCAAAATTTGACCTGCCCATTTTAATACACTGGTAACTAGCTAACTACGGTAGGTATTTCAAGTCTCTACTGTAACATCTTGTTTTTTGTGCACAGCTAACTCGAGTCTCTCGCAAAACTTGTTTTAATATCCATTTATTAGACTACAGTAAAAACTGAAACCAAAAAAAGTTCTAATTTTCATAGCTGACAAGGGATTAGACAAAGGGGGGACGTCTGAGGATTCAAGGGAAAAAAAGAATTTTAACATTTGGCTAAAAACTAAAAAAGTTATTGCCAATTCAAATTCGGCCGAAAAATTGCCGCACCCTGTATTTTCCACCTGCGATGTATTGTAAGCTTCGAGCATCAAGTGTGAGCTTACAAACCAAAAATTGTATTTATTTTAAACTGACTTTGCGCTTTCCTTCAGCTTCTTTTCAACTTGCACATTTAGTCGTGATTTTCAACGTTTTGTTATCGCAATTCTTGCAGATGTGTGCACGAGCAATTATTGTACTAAATGTTTTGTGCTACAACTCGCTAGTTTCCACGGAAGTTGTTAAGTTTATCCAATTATATCGTGGACTATTCATCTACCAAGTGCAATTTTGTTTTTTGAACATTTTACTAGAGCGACTGATTGCCATATCATGCCCACATAAGTATGAGAGAACGCCGATTGTGGTGGGAGTTATGATTCTGATTTTTTGGTGGGTTTTCGTCACGCTCTTACTGTATGTTTTCTGTAAGTTCTTGTTGCGTTAAATTTTTCTTTTTCCGATCAGAATCCAGCAACTCAAAAACTCTTTTTTCAGCCACAACAGTCTCTGCGGCTGTTGGTTTATTTGTCCATTTCTCGGTAAGTCCATCTATTATCAGTATGTCGGGAAAATAGTGAGCACGCTGTCGCAGCGAAAATCTCATCGCCGCCGGAAAAATGAGTTGTATCTCGGGAAATTCAAATTTCCTTTCGCTCAGCGATACGATATGCGCGGCGACAATGTGCCCGTTATTTTTCCGGCAGACTGTTGGTATTTTCATAAAGTGCATGGACATTTTTCCGCTCTCACACACACTCATTTTGAAGCTTCTTCCCACGCTTGTCGCTAATGCACAGTGCATTCATTCTTCTGTTTTCGCACAGTGCAAACCACAAAAAAGCCGCTTGCAATGTGCAAATTCCAGGTAAAAATGAATGGTGAAACATACGTTCTTTTTGGGCACTGTGCGAAATGCGACAAATGTCCAAGCACTTTATGAAAGTACCACCGATCTGTTGGAAAAATAATGAGCAAAATGTCGCTACGCCAATCGCGCCGCACAGCATTCCGAACTTTTTTCGCCGCCGATCGGTGTCCAAAAAAATGAAAAATTAAAAAGTGCACATTACATTTTCATATGTGTAAGCCGTTGAAATGAAAAACAACTTTATTTTTCCGCGACACAATTCATTTTCTTGGTGCCATTTTCGATGCGACAGATTGCTCATTATTTTCCCGACAGAGTGATACAAAAATACTATACTACGTTTCCCGCAGTTTTCACTATCAAACTTTCAGGCTTTATTCCTGACCCGCCGTTGGATAAGAACGCAGCGATCGTACCCCACGAACGAAGTGTCCTTGTCCACCAAATACCAAATTTCCGAAAACATTCGAGCCCTGGTGATGTGTCGCTATTGGATTTATTTCTACTTTGTGATGAGTATGATCTGCAAGTTTTGGCTCTTCTTAGCATACATCTCCTTTATGAAAGAGGAAAAGGAGACGTGGCGGTTGGCATCCAATCTTTACGATCTTTCTCATGCCATCTATGTGCTCTTCTACCCGGCGTTTTTGGTCTATGGTAACCGACCTTTACGCAAGAGACTGGTGGTGATGTTTGGAAGAAGAAATGGAAAAGTAATGGCATCCGATACGATAGGGCCAGATGCAAATAGCCTTGTCAACAACGATGACTTTAGCGATTATTTCAAAAGGCTTCAAGCTTCTTGGGACGCCCCAAATAAATGGGAAAACTGTAGTCCCAGAAATAACAAGTAATTGGATAAACAAATACTCACTACCTCAACTTGTTTTGAACAAATCTAATATGCGAATAAAAGGCCTGAAGATTTCGAAAACGCATTTCCGGAGGATTGATCTTTGAGCGGGTGTAAATGCTATACTATCCTGTCGGGGAAATAACGGGTTGTCGCGGCTTCGAGTCGCCTATTATCGGTTTGGAACGGCTCGTCGTGGCTGGGGTTTTGGTGCGCAACTCTTTCTTCGACAAGGAGAAAAATTTTGCTTTAATTAGTGAGCGCAATCGCTGCGGCAACTGCATTGGTTTTGTCGCAACACAACTTATTTTTCCGGCGGTGATGCCTTTCCCAGCTTCAGCAGCCGTCGCATAGCGATGATGGGCTTCCAAGGCACGAAGACCAGCCGTTATTTTCACGACAGACTAATAAACGCGTGCTTCCAAGTATGACGCCTTTGTGTAGCTTAAAGGGCCGTGGATATGGTATGTGTGGCGGCAATGACAATCCAAACAAAATGCGCAATCTGCCAGCCTAACTGCCAAAGCTCCTCTGTAAAACAACAGCAACTTTCAGAGTCTAGAAACTCTGTAGGAAATGTTCTTTGGACCAATGTATGACGAAAGGGTTAAAGTTCTGTCATGTTTTCTCGCGGAAAAACAAACGTTTGTGAACCACTTAACAAGATTATATCATGCACAAACTATGCGCACACCCAACTACACACCAGTCAGCGTAAACATTTGTGGCATTTGCATGTGTTTCCACGCCGAAGGCGGGTTTTCAGGACTAGACATGGGCCTCGGATCGGGGTCGGAATTTGCCAGTGAATGAGAGCGGGTCGATCCAACCCGTTATTGTGTCAAGTTTTATCAGGCTGTCGGGAAAATAGTGAGCTCAACGCCGTTGTGTTGTTGAAGGGGAAAAAATTTTGGTCTTATCGCGACAAAATTCGTTTTCTCGGCGGCAATGCAATTTTCGATGCGACAGAGTGCTCGTTACTTTCCCGACAGAAAAATAGTATTTTCTTAAAGTGCATGGGTATTTTTTTCTCTGTCGCACAGGGCATTTTGAACTTTTTCCCATGCTTGTCGCCAGTGTTTTTCAGTCAGCGCAAGCGCAAGTTCCGGCTTGTCGTACGCAAAAGCGCAAGTCGCTGGTGGAAAAATTCAAAATTGTGGCGACAAAAAAGATGCACAGTGAGGATAAAACATGAAAGAAAAAGGTAGAGTGTATAAATTTTTCAAACTTTTGACTGCGAATAGTTTCAACTAGCTAAGCGCTATGAAATAATTTTAAACTACAAACAAGGCCGAATTTAGCCCAGCTTTGTTTTGATGGTCATACATTTGCAAAAAGTTTTCCTTCATTTTTTCCATTGTATGCCGCCTACAATTTTTTTCTGTTCGTGAGCAAACTCAATTTTTGAAGCACGGTGGGCTTCAATATTTAGGTTCAAATTTACGTATCAAATTTGCCGCCCTTCCTAATGTCTATTCAGGACTAATTCTTCCATTTACCGACCTTTGAGGTATTGACAAAGCACCTGGACGGAAAAAAACCGTTCTAGTGTGCATACAGCGTGTTTTTTTTTTGCTATTCTGGAAGGGAACGAAGTTTGCGGGGAGTTTATGTATATTCTATCAGTCTGTCGGGAAAATAGTGAGCACAACGTCGCTGAGCCGATCACGTAGTTGAATTGAAAAGAAATTTAAGCTTGCCGCGACACAATTCATTTTCTCGGCCGCGATGCGAGTTTTGAAAAGGAGTGCTCATTATTTCCCCGACATTCTGATGCTACTCGGGGCAAAGTTTCTGATAATTTGCATAGTGCGTATTTGGCCGATTTTTAGCGCGCTCTCGTCGTTTAAACTAAAAAATTTTTTTTGTGCAAAACTCAGTTCCCCGGCTGCGATAGGCATGGCTCTGGGCCCGGCTTTGCAAGATTTTCCGGCCCGGGCCGACTAATTTCTAGGCCCGATCCCGGGCTTCGATTTTTAGGCCCGGCCCGGCCCGGGCCGGCCCGGTTTTTTTGAAATCAGAGTTTTGCCCGGAAAAAAGGAAAAATAAGCTTTTTCGATAGCATTTTTCATTTTTTCGAACGCAATGCTGATAGCGAACGTAAAGTGCCCTTATGTACCTAGGTTTTGCTAAATTTTTCTTTACATTTTGCGAAAACTTGCCATAGTTTCTTTTCATTTCCCGCTTTCTTTCTTTCCAACCTAGTATAAAAATTTTCCGGGCTGAAGCGGGCCTCGCTTTCCAAATTTTCCAAGCCCGGGCCGGGGCCGGGCTATCCCGGTTTGCAGCCATGCTTAGGCTGCGATGCCATTTTCAATGCTCATTATTTTCCATTCATTTCTTTGACCCTGCTGGTAATCATACAGATATATGAAGTGTTTTAGCTTGCAGCTGTCGCCTGTGGCATGTCGCTGAGTTCGCTGCAATCCGAGGACCGCAAGAACTTCACAGACACCTACAACCAGTGGCTGGACGAGCCGGATTACCCGTCCAGCTTTCGGATTGCGATTTTTTTCGTCGAACTCTGCTTCGACATTGGCAGTATTCCGACCAACCTGATCATTGCATGGTGCTTCTCTCGGATGCCCACGTTCCATCCGAATCTACGGTTGCTTCTGATGAATGATATTCTCAGCGGTGTTCTTGAAGTGAGCTGGAAAATATCGCTTGTAAGCATGTTTTTTACAGATTTTGAGTCGCATTTTGATTGTACTCAATGTTTTCGACCAAAACAAATTTCTTCCGCCGGAAATGGTCGATGTGATACAACATTACCGTGGTTTGTTTATGTATCAAGTTCAATTTTGCTTTCTGAATATTCTGCTGGAAAGATCGATAGCGATGGCGTGGCCGGATAGATATGAGCGGGTCAACATCTGCGTTGGAGTCGTAATTCTGGTCGTCTGGGTAAGAATTCATCTTTTGTCAGTTTGTCGGGAAAATAGTGAGCACTCTGTGGCATGGACGAGAAAATAAATTGTGTCGCGGTGAAATCAGATTGCTTTCAATTCAGCGACGGGCATTGTGCTCATTATTTTCCCAACAGACTGATAACAACCGGAACTTTTTTCCCAACTTTTTAAAATGTATTTTTATTTTCAGTGGATATTCTTCACACTGTTTCTGTATGTGATCCGTAAGTTTTTTGAAGCCTTGGTTCATGGGTCCTTACAGGGGAAGTACTCCAAGTGCGACGCTCAGATTTTCCTTAAATTTTGCACACACATCGGGTGTGGATTAAATATCAATTCCTCAAAGTTTTAGCTCGCGCTTTGCGGGCGCCGCCGAGATATCGAACGATTTCTGCCGCCGAGAGAGCACGCTAAACGTGGAGAGCGGTCAGAGAGAAAAACGCTTTTTGGCCATAACTTTGGCAGTTTCGTGCGGAAAAATTTGATTTTTTGTAGAAACATTATCCTTTACGGTTGAAATAGACATGAAAATTTTCGTGCCGAAATTCGGCAAAAAGTCCTAAATTTAGCCCGACTTTCAATCTAAAAATTTCCGTTGTTTCAGCAAAGCGCAGCTAGGATTCTCCCATATATCTTAGAAAAAATTATTCTAAATTTGTGCCAAGTTTCATAAAAATCTGAGCGTCGCACTTGGAGTACTTCCCCGGTTAGTAAGATTAAAGTGTTGCCCTCACGTTTCGACGAGAACTAGCACAAATTTGGGTTGTTTCACTTATTAGACATCTAATGAAACAGCTAGATTGCACTTCCTAGAAACAACCATCATTTTTTAATCGAAAATCTGCAAAAATGCAAAAAAATTTTTCCGCCTGGTATTGGCAAAAATATGGCCCAAAGTTTTTCGCTCCAGCGGTTCTCCGCGTTGAGTGTGCTCTATCGGACGCTAGGACTGTTAGCTTCTTCGCCATGCCTTCCATAAGCTTCGAGCTCTATAATAACACCAATTTTAGCCGTCTACGTGGCTCTGACATTGGGAATAATCCTGCACTTTCCGGTAAGACCGACCTCTTAGTTCAAAACCTCTCCGCTTTTAGGTGATAATTCTTACCAGTCGATGGATAAAAACTCAACGACTTTATCCAACCTACACAGCCTCACTGTCCACAAAATATCAAGTCTCCGAGAACATCCGGGTCCTGCTAATGTGTCGGCATTGGCTTTACTTTTATATTGCGACGAATATGGTCAGCAAGGCATGGTTTCTTCTGGCAATTCGTTCCTTTATTAAGAACCAGAAGACCAACTGGAGAATGTTCTCAAATCTCTACGACCTGACGCACGCAATATACATGTTCTTCTTCCCCATCTTCCTGGTTTACGGGAACCGGAATCTGCAAAAGCGCCTGAAAACGTTGTTTGGAGTACGAAGGGGGAAAGTTGAAGCGTCGGAGAAGGGCTACGAACTCGAGGAGAATAGTGTTGTGGACACGGAGGACTTCAGCGGTCATTTTAGACGTCTACAAATGAGTTGGGAGAGTGATGCGAGATGATTTGAACTATATTCTTTATCTCAAACAAAAATGCAATATGTTGAAGCTTTAATGTTGTTTTGACACGGAATAAACGGGAGACACAAAATGGGGTTTTTTTGTGATGTGGGCCGTGACAGTATATGCACGTTGTGAACATACTAATACAGTCCAAATTGAATCTACCGACGAAACCCCGCACCGTGCACTTTTTCTGTCGCACTCCAAAAAGGCCCTTCGTTGCTGTGGCGTATTCACTGCTTGGAGGTATGTAGGTCTGTACGCAGTGGCCTGCACAGATGTTGTTCAACTTTTTGGCGTATCTATTGGACTGGTAAGTAATATTATATATAATTACGACCGCACGTGTGTAAAATTAGTATGGAGTAAGTACTAGGCGGGCCAAAAAGTATTGCCATGTTTGCACAGTGCGGCGTCGTGCATGAAATTTGTCGCGCGGCGACGAGAAAATTTAGTGGCGCACAGCGCATGTGTGAAGTCTTCGTCAGTTAAAAAATATTAAAAATAAAGTTTTTCCAGAGAAAACGCTGTGGCTCTGATAGTTTCTCCTTACCCTTTTTAGGGTAAAATACCTTTAATTTTTCCGGAAATTCTTGTATTTTTATGTGTTTTTTGAAAATTTGGCAATTCTGCCGTTTACTGGGTAATGGGTAATTTTGAACTTTTTTGACACTAAGTTTTTTAATCGAAAATAAATGTAAATATTTTATATCTCATGCAGATTGTGGAGTTGGAAGCTCAGATTAATTTTTTACACCTTTTCTTTGCCGCAGTGGTAAGCCTTTTTTGCCAAACCGTTTAGATGTGTTGAAGACTTCCGGGTGAGCCGGGTTGTTCTTCACAACTCTAGCCGGATGGCCTACTTGAACCGAAACCTGCCAAATCGAAGGTCCTTGCCATTTCAGGGCCGCAATTTCACCCTCTTCAAATTCTTTCAACATTTTTCCTCACAGAATCCAGAAGAACAATTAAGAATAGCACTAAGCCGAATAGCTTGCTTTGCTGCAACACCAACGACAAGAGGATTGCAAAATATCAAAAAAATCACCAAAATTTCCCCTTTACAATTTTTTTGCATGTTGTGGAAACTTCTCGAAATTATTCTTTGGCACAAAATTTATGGTACATTTGGACATTAGGACCAATTACGGCGCAGTTTTATCGACAAACACGAAAGTTATGACAATGTTAAAAGTGCCATAATTTCGGGCACTGTAGTAGAGTCCAGACATCTCTACTGCAATGCGGAAACAACTAATATATAAATGTGAATTTGATTTCCTGAAACTAAAGAAACACCTCTCGGCAGGACTACAAATTTTCACCGTAGGACATTGACAGTCTACATTATCTTACTTTTTGTCAATTGCGACACTTCCTTTGGACGAAATTCAAAAGTGGGCGGGGGACATTTACGCATCGGCATTCGTAATTTTCAACATTTGGCATTGAGTATTCCTCGAGGTCAAGTTGATACCTAACCACGTTGTCAGTAATGGGCATCTTCTTGAACGAATCCGACCTACCGTCCGCTGAATTTCTCCAATTCTACACGGTGTTTGAGGACATTGCCCTCGGCGTTACCGTAATCATGGTCCCCTTCACAATTCTCGTCATGGTTTTCAGTACGTCTTAAATTACCATTTTCAAAACTTTGGTTTTTAGCTAGTAACAGTGTCATCAACAACTATCGACTTCTCTTGATCAACGAGTTGTCGTGGTAGGGGATTACATTTCACAAACACAGTCATAATATTATATTGTTCAAGGTCGTTGCTCTTTGACATTATGGCTTCGTTAATCGGCGCTGTAGTCCTATTCCCTCTACCTTGTTACTACGGTGTGAATGTCACCAGCGCCCTCTCCCATACGCAGCAGCTGATTTATTTTGTTTTCGGAGTCGGGTTTAATGCAATGAAAGACATCTCCATCTTTTACCAATTAGAATACATTCTTCTGGGATCCCTTGCGATAGATTCGAAAGCTCGAGCGTTCCTCGAAATGAAATCAAAGAAGTGCTCGGTGATCATCTTCATAGTCGGTCTTCTCGGGGCAATATTTGTAAGTCAGACCGAGCAATAAATTTTCGACAAGCCCCGCTAACGCGGGCCTTGACGCCGCTGTGCGCGCAAAGGTTGCCCAACGTGAAGTTGACTTGATCGCGTGCACTACAGTTGATCGTCCAGGCCACGCTTCGCGTGGCCAACAACGCGCTGGCGCGCGTTATACTGTCTCAAGCCCGGCACTTCTGTTAGCTAAGGGCCGCGCGCCAGCGCTACCTTTCATCAGCTAAAGGCCGCGCGCCAGCGCTACACCTCCCGTCAACGAATGGCCGCGCGGCAGCGCCACCTTTCATCAGCTAACTTTGACCGATCAACTGTTTTTTGAAATTTTTCGAATACAGTTGGTCATCTTAACGTAATAAACATTTTGCAAGCGTTCTGGATCCGATAAACATTTTCTCGCATCTTTCACCGACCGCTGACAATAAAATATTCCAAACAAAGCTGCCAATAAGGTCTAACTTTCTCCTCATTTTTTAGGGTCCAGTAATTTACTTTTTGCCCGACCAAGAAGAACAGAAACAACTTCTCATATCCCTTGATCCATCTATCGGCAAGCTCTACGAGGACCATCCCGATATCATTTGCTTTACAGCCGGAACAAGCCCCAAAAAAGCGATTATGGTCGCATTTGCGGCTGTCGTCTCAATTCCGTTTCTTATGCTCTTCTATCTGATCATAATGTACAGTTCCATGCACAGAAGCAATTGGTCACCCAACACGCATCGTCTTCAAATGATGATATTCCGTTCCCTCGTATTTCAGTTGATCGCATTCACCGTGTTAATGTGGGTTCCAAGCATGGTCCTGATCAGTTTGCCTCTCTTCGAAATTTGCTACGGTCCAATTGTCTCTGTGATTTGCTTCTGCTTCTTTTTGATGCACACTCCGTTCGATTGTTTTATGATTTTGTATTTCATCAAGCCCTATCGAAACGTCGTTGCGAATTTACTCAAAGTGCTGTCGGGGTACGGAGTTACGACCATACAGTACACAACTCATCACTTACCCGCCTTGAATCAACACTTCTTTCAACGCAAGTCAAATGTGGATCTCTCCATGGCAAACACTCAAGTTCAGCATTCTAAAAATCGTGTTTTTATTGTTCAACTTCTGCCAAAAACATAAAATTCTACCAATTGCTAGACGTAAGATTCAATAAAGATTCTACCAATTGCTAGACGTAAGATTCAGTTCAAATTCTGTGAATACATAAAGCCAATTGTAATTATCATATTTGTAATACCACAACAATAATTTTGTGTGAAAATGTTTGCGTTCCGGCTTTCCGGTCGACGACAGTTCGGGTCAACACAAAATCAATGGATACGGGGCGTATCCATCGATTGCAGGTGGATACCCAAGGAAGGTTGTAGGAAGTCCCTGCGAGGCCTCGCAAAACCGTTCGATCGCCAGTGGACCCTAGGCACTGCAGGATGAGCCAAGTCTTTCTCCTTAGATGGTCAACTCTTTCTCTCAAAATTCTTTTTTGTCAAGTTTAATATAAATTTCTTTATGTTTCAATCTACATACATCGACAGGACAATAACTCCAAAAGTAAGTTAAATTAACCCTCTTTCTATATATGCAATGATTTTTTGCATTACATAAGTTTATCCTTGCGCATTTAGCCATTGTTGTAGGTATACAAATTTAGCTGAATTCTGTTCGTTCTTGCGATTCCATGAAAATTTGAAAGTCTTCCCCACAAAAGAACCGGCGTCGAGCCTTCTTGGTGTCAGAATTGTTTCAGCATGAAAGGACTTACAGTTTTTTTGTTGATTCGATTTTCGATATTACACTAGGTACTTTTGTAAGTTTAAAACGAAATTAGGTCACGTTTTACGTCATGTAAGGTCTAAATGGACAATAAAACTTTATTTTAGCATTCTTAACGTCGTAACATTTATTTCCCCCCTTTTATTGTCTTTTTTGATTTTTTTCAGATTTTAGGTATGGAAAAATTTTGATGTATCCGCGGCCATAGATGCGTATGAATACTTCGCAAACCATATTTAAAAGATCTCTGGTCGATGTAAAAAATGTTTAGAACAGAATGAGAGGTATTTGAGACTTTTTTAGATCCACGTTGTACTTGATCACTTAGACCCTAAGACATCTCAAACCCGGGTTTGAAAGAATATTTATGTTGGGGACGGTTTAGTAATGGCTCAGCTTTGTAGTTTTCCGGGTTTAAACTTCAAAAACATTAGATTTTGCCTGCAACTTGATAAAAGTACCTAGTGTAATATCGAAAATCGAATCAACAAAAAAACTGTAAGTCATTTCATGCTGAAACAATTCTGGCACAACGAAGGCGCGACGCCGGTTCTTTTGTGGGGAAGACTTTCAAATTTCGTTCATGGAATCGCAAGAACGAACAGAATTCAGCTAAATTTGTATACCTACAACAATGGCTAAATGCGCAAGGATAAACTTATGTAATGCAAAAAATCATTGCATATATAGAAAGAGGGTTAATTTAACTTACTTTTGGAGTTATTGTCCTGTCGATGTATGTAGATTGAAACATAAAGAAATTTATATTAAACTTGACAAAAAAGAATTTTGAGAGAAAGAGTTGACCATCCAAGGAGAAAGACTTGGCTCATCCTGCAGTGCTAGGCGAAAGCTTGGCGAAGGATCGGCGGAAACTTTACGAAACGGCATGGGGGTCATTGATACCACCGGCAATCATCGCTTTTCGGCGTTCGTAGACGATTTCCTATTATTTTCTCGATAAACTGATAGCATACAGAAAAAACTACAAAAAATTTGTAGTCTCGAGGACTTTCCAAACATTTACAAAAAACCGCAGAGGAAAGCAACAGTTATTTCTCAGACCGAACATCCTTCGCGTGGGCACATAAATACCAGTAAACTACAAACGCTGAAATTTCGGAAATGTTTGGTATCAGTTTTGTATTTATCCTGCAACTACTATATACTTTGGGCCGTTTCAGAGTTGTTGTTGCTTTTTTGAGCTAACCCAGAATTCAAAACTTTTCAAAACTTGTTAACTTTTTTGATTCCAAATATCCCAGTTTTTTCGTTTGATAATTGAGTCCTTGTCGGAACGTTGGCAACGCGTTGTGAATACCGACGAAACTTTCTTTTCACTCTGAAATTTCTTCCTGTTTGCACCGTACAATAGTTTTTAAAAAGGTCATGCGTTGACCAACGGCTTACAATGCAGCTGTGCTGCTTCTCATCAGATAACTTTATTTATCTTGCACAGGTTGAAAGCAAAAAACTACAGCGTTTCTACTGGGCAATTCAAAAAATTACATTTCAAAGACTATAGTTTCTGTTTCTTTATATCCCGGTTTAATTGCTATTTTCCCGTGATAAACATCAAACATATGGCATAGCGTAGACATGTATTAATACGCACATTTTTCGCTAAAAGGGCCCGAGGCGTTTCTGCGAGGACCGTTTTTGGGCAATGTTGCTCGGAGAATTTGGGATTAGATTTTAGATATTCTAAGAGTTGAATAACTACACCTGTTATCAGGTCGCAAGGATCGTCACGCCCTTGCCTGTAAACGTTCCTGAGAGTACTCTTATTCCGCAGCTACTTTGTGCCCTTTCATCGAGGAAGTGCCTAAAGTGCGACGCCCCTGAAGAAATCTGCGCGTCGCACTTGGAGTACATCCCTTGTTTAGTGCGATGTCACTGCAATCGGAGGAGGTGAAAAATCTCACCAATTACTATTACAAATGGCTGGCAGAGACGGACAACCCGTCCGAGTTCCGGACACTTTTGCTCTGCATTGAATTGGCGTTGGATATTGCCTCAGTTCCTGTCAATATGATTATTGCATGGTGCTTGATGAAAACGCAAACTTTTCATTTCAACGTCCGCCTACTTATGCTCAACGATGTTTTGTGTGGTATCACAGAGGTGAGTTCTTGGATGTGTTTGATTGGTGAGAGATGGGAAGAGCACTTGTTGAAGATTTGGTCCATTTAGGCGGAGAGGACATAATGTAAAGGGCATTTCGGCAAAGAGGGAAGATAATGAAAAAAAGTCATGGTAAGGGGGGACCAAGGCGTTATTTTCTATAAATATAATATTTTTTTTTTGGTATTTCAAAAAAATTACATGATAAAGGGAAAGAACAGAGCGATTTTTTTAGTTTTTTGGTCCTGAAATGGCACCAAACTTTGTTGATTTTCAAGTTTTTTGCAAAGTTTTTGCTCCGCAATTAAATATTTTTTCCATCAATAAGAAATGCGACTTGGTCCCCACTTGCCACATGATTTTTTAGCAAACCAGAAAAAAACTAATTCAAATAAAATCCGTCTTGTTCTCCCCTTACCATATCTTTTTTTTTGAAGACTAACAAAACTCATTCAAAAAAATCGGCCTCTTGTGATACCCAGCGTTCAATGCTCGCCTACGTCCCTTCTTCGGATCCACCCGTCGTTGTACACTAAATATGTGAATTACAGATGTCGTTTCGAGTCATCATCGTTGCCAACATTTTAGCATATGACACGCTTGTTCCCCTGAACGTAAAAAAACTTCTACAGTTCTGTCGGGGCGTCTGCGTTTACCAAGTTCAGTTCGGCTTTCTGAGCATCCTAATCGAGCGGCTGATTGCGGTCAACCTGCCGCACAGATACGAAAAGACCCCCATATACGTTGGCATTGCAATGGTGGTAATCTGGGTAAGAAGCCGTGAAAGTTTTGTGAAAAATTTGGTTTCAGTGGCTCATCGTAGCGGTTCTTGTTCGATCGATGTGTAAGTGGACAGTTACAATAAGTAGTCGTCTGTTTCAGCCGCTGGATACGCGATTCTTTTGGAGGTGTCGGTCCACCTGCTGGTAAGTTTACCTCTTCGCTATCGGTTTTTTATATTTCGTCTTGATTTCAAAGAGAAGTCAGAGAAAAAGACGCGCAAAAACGTACTCTCTCGCCCCAAAAAATCCCCATTTCTTCCCCGACTAAAAGTTTTTACGGGTCTTTTTTGGCGGATTGCCAACCTATTCACCGAACCATTTTAGCCTATCTCAGTTTGACGTACGACGCTCAGTGCTTCCTTGAACCGTGTACAGGGTGGTTCAGCCGAAGTTTCCATCCTTAACTCAAGTGTTTCTCCGCCAATCATGCACCAATTTCTATAAAATTTATATCAAATTGAAACTGAGGTACCCCACTTTCTGTCCACCAAATATGACAGGCCTAAGTTTTAGAGCCCGAAATCGGTGAAAATTAGAAAAGAAGACATTAGAAGAAGCTGGAAAAGTTGAAATAAGGGTGGAAGCTTCGGATTTGGACTAAAGTTCATGCAAATTTGAAGTTGCCTACAACTTATTTTTCAGGCGCTATTTCTAACCCAGCACTGGATCAGCTCGCAACGGGCTTACTCACGGCCCACCGCAACGTTGTCCACACGCTACCAGGTCGTCGAGAACATCAAAACACTCTCCATGTTCCGGTACTGGGTCTACTTTTACGTCTTCATGGGGATCATCCAAAAGGTTTTGATTCTCTTCTGTGTCAGAGCCTTCGAAGTCGGGGACAAGGAATTGTGGAGGGTGTTTTCGAGTTTTTTCGAATTGGCTCATGCTACGTACTTTGTGTTCTATCCGGCCTTCTTGTTGTACGGAAGCCATCAGCTGAGGAGACGGCTTTATTCCATGTTCCGAATACGTAATCGATCGACGATTGCGGCGGAAAGTCATGTTGCAGGGCACACGGAAGGAATGGGCGATGCAGATGCATTCAACACTCACTTCAAGCGGCTGGAAGAATCGTGGGAGCGGCCGTTGAAGTGATATATATTTCATTGGAAATATAGTTTTCGTATTTATATCAGTCTCTCGGGAAAATAATGTGGATTGGCTTGAAATCACCCATGTCGAAATGCCAGACAATCCAGTAACGAGACAAGACGAGAGCTCAAGAGTCAAGTGATTTATTCAGTGGAAAGGACGCCTTTTATAGGAAAGCCCCACGTAGGAAAGTGCAACCAAATTTGAATAAATGCAGATCATTCCTCGTGGGAAAATCCTCGAAGCTCGGTCGTTCCGCCTCACAACCCATCATTGCTTTCCTCGCCGCGACTGGGGATTTGGTGTGCGATTGCGACGAGGCGAAACGTTCTGTCGCGAGTAATCCACATTATTTTCCCGACAGACCGATTTGGAAATACTAAGTTGTGTTTTTCTTCTTAGGATGTGTAATAGATAACAGCTCGGTTTTGTCAGCATTGCAATATGTTTTTGATTTGTGCCTTAGGGTAAAAATAAATTGTTGAAAAGGAAATTTCATTCAATGACAAGGGCACAGAGGAATGATTTTCTCACTGCCAATACACACATGCCACGTATTATACTCGTCGACAAATACATATAATAGACCCTCAATATTCGAAATCCCTGTTAGCAAGAGAATTCGCGAAATGCGGAGAGAGGAAAAAGAAAAAACAAATTTCAGGCCATTTCACCACATTGTTTCTGCAAAGCACAAGGTGCGTATGTCGTCGAACGAATTGATATATTTATTAATATTTTTTCTTTTTTCTGTAAAACATCCGTGTTAGCGTCGAACGTAAACTGTAATAATTATAGTCTCTACATGATGTAATTATGGTGCCTCCAAGTATCCAAATATCATGATTGCGGCGCATAAGTTACTATGTAGTTCTGTTTATTGTCGCCCCGCTAATTACCGGGATGGTAGAATAAGCCTGCCTAATGTTTTCTGTAATATTATAGCTGTACTGAATAGAAATTGTTTATGAAGGATGACTACAGTTAGGAAAAAAACTTTGAATATAAATTGACGGTGAGACAGGAGAAGGGAGAAATGGCAGTGCACCGAGTTTGCCGAGAAGACCAACAAGTTTCCCTGAGAAATCATAAATTTCCTCGAGATGTTATTGGAATACATGTAAATGTCTATCTGTCGGGAAAATAACGGCGGGTCGTTACAATCAATCGACGCGCCTTGAAATCGCACATCTTCGCGATGCCGCAGCTGGAAATTTGTTGCGCGACCTTTTCGACGAGACGAAACATTTTTCTGCGGCGCAATGGATCCACATTCTCCGCAGACGATGCATTGCGGAGAATGGGGAGTGCCGATCAAGAAAAAAACATTTCATCGGTTTCTTGGCAATGTAATTTTTACAAGTTTGGCATGCGCCAATCTCTATTTTATTAGCATACAAATTGGTCAGGTACATTCCACCCCCGCCAAAAATGAGATTAATGAGAAATGATGTGTTACGTGTAATTGAGAAAATGTAGTACCAATTTTACCGTTTTCAAGGCTATTGAACTGAAATATTATATATACAAAAAAGGCGCATTACTGTAATAACATCCTCAATTATGCGGCTCAGACGTTTTTCCGTGTTGAAAATGCACGGCTGAAAGTGGGATGGAAGAACTGACGAAACTATCCAACACGTCTTCGAGGCATCTGTATTCAACCTCGGAACTACAAGTCTTGGATATTGTAGGGAAAACGGAGACATTGGTTCAGCGAAAATCTACAGTCAAAGAATTGATAAAAACCCGGTGGGCTGCAGGTGAAACTCTTGGGGCTATATTCTGAGTAGCTGGTAAAAATACCGAACAGTTTGCACTTTGAGTCTGGCGACGTGCTTGCGTAACATCCGTCTATGATTATTGGTCCTGATTTTGCTACAATTTTTGACATCAACTTTTTTCTACTGCATTTTAAATTAACCTACTAAATGCTACCCTGCTTTCTGGCGATCATTCCCCCAACTGTCGCGGAGCTATCTCGTCGCCTCAACGAAGCCAGTACCAATGAGAAGAAGAGGGAAGTATTGTTCAGAGAACTTTTCGAGCTATTGTTGGCGCCGGACGAGGATTACGAACTGGGCAGTTTCTTCTACGGCCTTGAACTTGGCCTTTACATCATGGCCATTCCAATTAATCTGGCGGTTTGTTGGGCAGTGACCCAAACTCACACTTTCCATCCGAATCTACGGCTGGTTTTGTTCAGCAACATTATGTGTGGGGTTTTGCAGGTAAGGATTGGGAAACTAAGCCGTTGCTGGCGAGTTTGTTTTTCTCAGCGTTTTATCAGTTTGTTGGGAAAATAATGAGCACCCTGTCGCATCGAAAATCTCATCGCTGCCAAGAAAATGAATTGTGCCGCGACAATCTACCACACATTTCACAATAAATCATTTTTTTCCGCGCGAAACGGGCAAAGAGATGGCTTAAAGTTTTCCATTTTCTCACATGCCGTTCTCCGCGTTTCCTGCGCTCTCTCGGCCGCAAAAGATTCTTGAATTTTTCGGCTACCCCTAAAAATCGCGAGCCAAAACTTTCAAAAATCAGATGTGGCCAATCTCTGAATTATGAGCAAAATCTAGGAAAACCTTGAGCGTCGCACTTGGAATTTTTGAAAAGTTCAAAATTTTACATGCTGTTTGAAAATGTTAAATAAATTCTCTAGGTCCATTAATTCTAATTCCAAAAATTTTCAGGCCACAGTTCGAGGTATTTGTGTCCTCAACATCCTCACGTATAACTTGCTGGTTTCTCCGTCGGTGACCATAAAACTTCTCGGCCTGCGGGCATTTTTTATGAACCAGATGTTGTTGGCATTTTTGAATGTGTTCATCGAGCGCTTCGTTGCGCACAAAATGTCGGCCAGATACGAAAAAGCTCCGCTGTATCTTGGGGTCGCGATCATTGCTTGTTGGGTAGGCTTATGTTCATTTTTGTACATATAATATGTATATCAGTCTACTGGAGAAATAATGAGCATCTGTTGCATCGAAAATCGCAAGAAAATGAACTGTGTCGCGACAAACTCAAATTTCTTTTCGCTGCAGCGACGCGATCGGCGCAGCCGCAGTATACTCATTATTTTACCGACACAACATATTTAGAAAAAATCTCACTCCATAAATTTGTAATTTTCCATTTTTTCAGTGGATATCAACATATTTTTTGACCTACGTAACTGGTAAGTATTTTTGTTGTTAGGTTAATTGGAGTCAAACAACATGATTATTGTATCTCCATGCATGATTATTTTATCTCCGTGATTTTTCAGGACTCAAATTGGTCACTCTTCTTTATGTCATCTCTCCTTGTGTGGTGAGTTTTTTCACTGGTAATAGCTGACAAGTCGCGCCATAAAGTCCGTAGAATATTTCTATGCATAATTCTACGAACTTGATGTGCGACTGGTATAGATTCTGACACAAAATTGAAAAAGAAAAGTCAAGAACTCTATTGACCGCCCTTAAATGCCCTTTCGTAAATAGGGATTTCTAAAAGAGTCAAATGTAGTACAGTTTGGTTTAGGCCTTATTCCTTGCCAATCGTTGGATAAAACTGCAGAACACGGCATCCACCGGAAGTGCCTCTCTGTCCAAGCGCTACCAAATGAACGAAAACATCAAAACCCTGACAATGTGCCGGCCGTGGATCATCTTCTACTTGATTACCAATGTTGTTCACGCGTTTCTCCTATACGCCGCACTTTGCTCTTTTCTAATGGACGGCAAGAACTCGGTGAAAATTTTGGCCCAATTAATGGACATTTTATACGCTGCTTATGTGGCAACGTACACATTGGTCTTGGTAAATGGTCATCAAGGGCTGAAGGCCCATTTCAGGTACGGGTTTAAATTTTTTTAAATTTAAATTAAAAATCAACTTGTTTAGGGTCCTACTGCGGAACCGATCAAAAGTCACTATGGAATCTTACAATTACATTGCCACGACAATAAAAACGAACAACGAAGACTTTGACGGACATTTCAAGAGGCTAGACCAAGCATGGGCTTGAGTGCGGTTAGCAGAATTGTTCATTGTTTTGAATACCTCTCATCGCTTCCTCAAAGGTGCTAATCTTAAAAATTACGTGCCGTTTTTTGTCCTTCAATTAAAAGATGTCCTACGCCTAAATATACCGTCTTCACACTTTACTTCTGTCTAGATAAGAGAAGAGATAAAAGCCTTCCGAAAAAATGCCTCTTTTTAGCCCCACACTGCAGGTTTCAAGGCCGACGCCAAGTCTTTCCCTGATGTGTCAAGTTTCACTCTCTCGAAAAACGAAAGAAAATAATTTTTATCCTTTTTGCAACATTTAGCAGCCTGTTTTAACATGAAGATGGCATGAATATTAGACTAGTAAGTTATTTTTAGCAAGAGGAGGTCTTCTTCTTTCAACTTATACCAAAAATTTTCCTTTTACTTCAAGGAAAGGTACAGAATTTCTCCAATTCCTGAAGCTACACAATGGATCCACATTCTCGGCGGACGAGGGATTGTGAAGAATGGGGAGAGCAGGTCAGGAAAAGAAACATTTAGGAAATTTATTGGCGATCTTTTAGACCCCTCACGTCAAGATTTTGCACTCAAAGGGTTATCTCTCAACACGAAAGTTGGCATTCCGTTTCCGCTTACAAAAGTGTCTAAAAAATACGTCTCAATGACGGTTTTTTTGGACGAGGTCAGATGAAAGGCGAAATATTGCGTAAAATGAAGAGATTTTCTATCTCGAAACTGGCTCATTTGATTTTTTTCGTTTTAGGCTCAAAAAATCCGCCTTGTTCCAGACTATGTTTCCAACAGGGGCGAGGAAAACTCTTTGAGAAATCGGCAAAATCGCAACATTTTTTAGGCGTTGTTAAACTTTTGGGGTGAGAGAGTACGTTGCACGTATTTCCTCTTTCGCTCGTTCAATTTCTTTGTCCTCTCCCTCAAAATCCATTGCATTAAGAAGGACACCGAGCACAACATCTACATATGTACTTCTTTCTTTATTCACTTCGTTTTGAAAAGATTAAATTAAAAAAACGGTCTCAAGCTGTAACTAATCTAATTTTTACGAGTTTCGCATGCGCCAATCTCTACTTTATTAGCATACAAATTGGTCCGGTACATTCCACCCCCATCAAAAGCGAGATTAATGAGAAAGATGATGTGTTAAGTGGAATTGAGAAAATGTAGTTCCATTTTTACCGTTTCAAGTTATCAACCGAAATACAAAACAAAAGATGACTTACCGTAATAACTTCCAAGGCTTAATTCTGCAGCTCAGACGGTTTTTAGACTGAAACTCGCTGTTGAAACCTTCAGAGGAGGTGTTAGAGAGTCTCCAATTTTGCTGAGCTGCACGTCAATCAAGCGCATTTCCAGAACCGTTTCGAAACTTCGTATCGTTTTCATTGATTGAAAAGAGAGACGAAATGTCGCGAAATTATCAGCACTTTTCCTCGCCCGAAATAATTGCTTTTTCTCGAAAAGAAAGAAGCAAGAAAAGAAAATGGTTTTTATCGGATTGTGACATTTCGTTTTGAACGAATCACCAAAAAGGGGCGGGAAAATTTTTCTTCTATTTTGGATTGGCCTGAGCTGGGGTAAAAGCAGAATATGATTTTAGAAGGTCTGTCGGGAAAATAACAAACACAATGTCGCTGTCGCGCCATGAAAAACAATATCATTTTTTCACTACATAATTCATTTTCTTCGTGGGGTATGGCTGCTGCGATATTTCCCAACGACGGTTCAACCATTCAATTTTCACGGATAAGGCCTGAAAATTGAACGGTGAAAACTGCCGGGAAAGTAACAGCATTTTCATATCAGTCTATCGGGAAAATGATGAGCACTCTGTCGAGAAAGTGAATTGTGTCGCGGCAAAATTAAATATCTTTGAACTTTAGCGACGCACGTCAAGGTTTTGCGCTCAAACGGTTATCTTTCAACAGGAAAGTTGGCATTCATTTTCGTTTTAGGCTCAAAAATCCACCTTGTTCCAGGCTTTGTTTCCAACAAACTTCAAACAGGGGAAACTCTGGGAAAAATCGGCAAAATCGCAGCATTTTTTAGGTGTTGTTAGTTTAGGCTTCAATAGATAAAAGACGACCGATTTTTTATATGAAACGTATAGGGTGAGGTAAAGCAGGAGTCCAGCTTTAAAGTTGTGTATGCAATAAATCCATTCTACTTCTATGTGTAATCAGGTTATCTTTGGAGCAAAAAATTATCTTTGAGCTAAAACAGAATGCCAAGAATTTGTCATTGCTTGAACGCTTTTGTTCTATTTATTTTTTCTTGACGTGCGACGCGACCTGTAATGTGCTTCTCGACAGACTAATAATAAAATGTTTTCGTTTTCAGAAGCCACAATTACTAACCAAAACAATATTAATTCGCACTTCCGACGGCTGAAGAATAAGTGGGATGCGAAGGACTACTAGAAATTTGCAAACAACTTCGGAACTACAAGTCTAGGGTATTGTAGGGAAAAACGGAGACATTGGTTCAGTGAAAAACCTACAGTCAAAAATTGATGAAAAACCGGTGGGCAGCAGGTGAAAATTTTGGGGTCATGTTTTGAGTAATTTATAAAAATACGGAACAGTTGGCACTTTGAGTCTGGACACGTGCGTAACCGTTGACATCAGTCTATGATTAGTGGTCCTGATTTTGCTACAATTTTTTGACATTACCTTTTTCTACAGCATTTTAAATTATCCCCTCGACTAAATGCTACCCTCATTTTTGACGAATGTTTACCTAGTTGTCGCTGAGCTTTCTCGTCGACTCAACGAAGCCACCAGCAATGAGAAGAAGAGGCAAATTTTGTTGAAAAACTTTTACGACCTATTGCTGGCGCCGGGCGACAATTACGAACTGGCCAGATTCTTCTACTGCCTTGAACTTGGCCTTTTACTCCTGGCCATACCAATTAATCTGGCGGTTTGTTGGGCAGTGACCCAAACACACACTTTCCACCCGAATCTGCGGTTAATTTTGTTCAGCAACATCATGTGTGGGGTTTTGCAGGTAAGGAGGGTAACTCGAGCCGTTGTATGCAAGCTTCGTTTGTTCAGTTTTTTTCCAAGTCTTGCTTTAATAGGGTGCTGCGCTCAAAGTTTTGGTAACGTTTGCCTTCGTACTCTCATTAGGTCACAAACCAACTTCTGGTTTTTTTGCTTGTACATCATTCCGATGTCTTCGGTCGGCAAAACCCGTGCCAAAATATCAGTGATGGAGCGTTCACTCCTCTCTCAGACTATGCAGACTTTTGGGCCCTACATGCGTCTTTCAGGGACATAGAATTGTTTTATTATCAGTCTGTCGGCCGACAGCTGTCAGACTATTTGGTGCGCGATAGCGGCTATGACATTTGCTGTCAGAGAAAAAACACCTTTTGATCGTAACTTTGCAAGTTTCGTGCAGAAAAAATTGGTTTTTTTGCGGAAACATTACTCTCTGTGGTAGAAATAGGCATGAAACTTTTCGTGCCGAAATTCGGCAAAAAGTGTCAAATCTTCGCCAACTCTCGCTCTAAAAATCTCGGTTGTTTTTGCAAAGCGCGAGTTAGAATTCTATTTTCTCGCATATATTTTAGAAAAAATTATTCTAAGTTTGTGCCAAGCTTCATCAAAATCTGAGCGTCGCACTTCGGGGTACTTCCCCTGTTAGATATTATATTATAATATTACCTTCTTTCTTCTCGTGGTCTAATTAACGAAATTCATAAATTTTCAGGCTACGGTTCGAGCTATTTTTGTCCTCCACATCCTCACGTATGAGATGCTGGTTTCTCCGGCGGTGGGTAGGAAACTCTTCGGTTTGCGGGCATTCTTTGTGAATCAAATGTTGTTGGCATTTTTGAATGTGTTCATCGAGCGGTTCGTTGCGTACAAGATGTCCGCCAGATACGAGAAAGCTCCGCTGTATCTTGCAGTCGTGATCATTGTTTGTTGGGTAGGTTTTTATATATTATATTATGCATACTATATATCATTCTGTCGGGAAAATAATGAGGTCTCTGTCGCATCGAAAATCGCAGAGTCGCCGAGAGAATGAATTGGCGGCAAAATCAAGTTTCTTTTTTTGGCAATGAGGACTATGCGACATAGTGCTCATTATTTTCCCGACGCACTGATACAACAAATTTTAAGAAGTTTTTACTCAATAAATTTGTATTTCGTTTAGTGGATATCAACATATCTTCTTACCTACGTAGTTGGTAAGTTTTTTTGTTGTTAGGCTAATGGGAATCAAAATTGCGCCAGACAACAGTAATTTTATCTCCATGATTTTTCAGAAATCGGAGCGGTCACTCTTCTTTGTATCCTCTCTCCTTGTGTGGTAAGTTGTTTCACTGGTACTAACTTACTAGTCACGCCCATAAAGTCCGTAGAATTTTTTGCTTGCAGAAAAGTACATGTTTTGTTTAGGCCTTATTCCTTGCCAATCGTTGGATAAAACTGCAGAACACAGCCCCCACTGGCAATGCCTCTCTGTCCAAGCGCTACCAAATGACCGAAAACATCAAAACCCTGACAATGTGTCGGCCGTGGATCATCCTCTACTTGATTACCAATGTTGCTCACGCGTTTCTCCTATTCGCCGCAATTTTTTTATTTCTAATGGACGGCACAAACTCGGTGAAACTTTTGGTCCAATCAATGGACATTTTATACGCTGCTTATGTGGCAACGTACACATTGGTCTTGGTGAATGGTCATCAAGGGCTGAAGGCTCATTTCAGGTACGGGTTTGTGTCTTCGTTGCAGGCTTATGATGAGAAAATGGACATTTAATTAAAAATTAACTGTTTAGGATCCTACTGTGGAACCGATCAAAAGTCACCATGGAATCTTACAATTACCTTGCCACAACTCTAAAAACGAACAATGAAGACTTTGACGGACATTTCAAGAGGCTAGACCAAGCATGGGCTTGAGTGCGGTTTGCAGAATTGTTCATTGCTTTGAATACCTCTTATCAGTGCCTCAAAGATGCAATAAAGCTAAAAATTGTATGCCGTTTTTTGCCTTTTCAATGATACAAGATGTCCTACGCCTAACTTGTAAATATAGTACTTTCTTTATACTTTGCTTCTGTGTAGATAGTGCCTAGCCCATGAATCAATTTCTGAAAAGCGCGAGTAACCAAAATATTAATTTTTTTTGCCGTCGAGAGTCTCCTCGTAATATGGAGAGTGGCTAGAGAGGAAACCGAATTTTACAGACGCCTTTTCACGTTAATCCCGCGAAGTTGAAGCTATTTCCTGGCCAAGATTTAGCCAATCTGGAACAAACAAGTTCTTGGGGAAGATCTTTGGCTGTTCTTTTTTAACTAAAGGAAAAACAAATCGTTACGGATTATTTAGAAAAAAGCTCTACATTTTCGTTGATTTTTTAAGACCAATTTTTTATAAGGTTCCACCTCTCTCTCAGGCCAAACGTTTGAACACCAAAAATGGCTAGCAAACGTCAACTTTTCGTATCCATTCTCACTCTTTTTGGGTCAGAACGTAAGCTAGGCATCAGCACAAATTATGGCTGATCATTTACTGCGGTAATGATTAGCCATGGTTTGCGTCAAGTTTCACAAAAATTGAAGTTTCTCTAGTTCATCAATTCTCATTTGAGTTGCCCAGACCTCGAAAAAAGCTCCTTCTTGCACTTTGAAACTGTCGTCATCCGAAAAAAAGTAACGAGATGTTTTTCGAGGGTGATTAATTAGCTGAGACAAACCTGATCAAAGTGATGGGCGTGCTTCAAAAAATTGGCTAAAAAACAAAGATCCTGAGGGGTTTAGTGAGAGATCAAATTTTCTTTGCCAAAAATTTCTTTTCGACGGTTTCAGCTAGTCTTTTTTGGTTCGAAGGCAACTAGGCGTATTTTACGTAAAGCCTTTTTTTGTTTTTATCATGCCATATTTATATATGACGAATCCTGACGAACAGCGCGTGTGATGCCGTGGTAAGAAAATACATCAAACTATCAGTCTGTCGGGAAAATAATGAGCACTTTTTCGAATCGAAAATCGCATCTAAAAATGAATTGTGTGGCGAAATCAAATTGCTTTCCACTTTGGTTGAATTCAGTGACGCAATCGGCGCAGCGACATTGAGATTATTATTTATTTTCCCGACATACTGATATTTCCGGTTTAGGTTTCTATTTATTTAATTTCACTTTCATTTCGATACTGTTGCTCGAGCCCTTTTTCATATGATATTCACGGGCTCACCTGTTGTCTAAATTTAACACTTCCGAATTAGAACGTCACTTCAGGCGGTGATTAATTGATATACCCACTCGATTTGGCTAAAAATAAGTTGGGATAATGATTAAGGGTAACAAATTACCGTCCAACATGGATTTTTCTGCCAAAAATAGCGTTTTCAATAAAACATTTGATGAGAAAGGCAAATCGATACTATCAGCCTGTCGGGAAAATAATAGGCACAATGAACGGCAACCCGAAGTGTTTCCTGGCTCCTTTCGACACTTCGCCCATTTTGTATCGGTTAAAATCAAACGAAATGTCACAAAAGAATTTTTCGTGGGGTTTTCCGACCGAAAAATATTTTTCTCGGAATTATTTTATTTCTTTTTTCAATTTTGACACTTCGTTTGGACGAAACTCAGAAGTGGGCGGGAAACATTTTTCTTCTATTTCGGGTTGCCGTGCAATGTCGCTGCGCCAATGGGATCGCCGAAGTGAAAGCAATTTAATTTTGCCGCGATACAATTTATTTTCTCGGCGGCGATGCGATTTTTGCTGCAACAGAGTGTTCATTATTTTCCCGGCAGATTGATATAAGCCATAATACTGCGTGTCCCGTAAATTTTGCATAAATTGGTAAGCTAGCCCGTTTTTGGCGCTTTTGTTGTTTACTTGGTGCTGTATATCAGTCTGTCGGGAAAATAATGAGCTAAATGTCGCTTCGCCGATTGCGTCGCTGAAGTGTAAAGAAATTTGATTTCTCCTCTCTAAATTTTATTCATTTTCTCGGCGGCAGTGATTTTAGACAAGGCGCTGCGCTCACTGCTTTCCCCACAGACTGTCAGGCGGGCCAAGAGATGCTGAAATGTAAGATATTCAGCGATCTCCGCACAAGAAGCCTCTAGTTTATCCTAAACCCTGCAAAATTCACGCAATTTCCTCAAAATTTCCGTCCTTCCCCGAACACGGCTAACACAATGTTCTCCGATCCGGCGGATGTAACGTGACAAGTGCGTCTTGCACGCTGATCGTCAAATTCAATTGCGAATGTATTTCCGAACCCACGCCTTTTATGTATTTACTGTGGAAAGAGGATGGAACGGAGGAGCTTAAAAAGCCAAGAAAGTCGTTTTTGAAAGTGTTGAAGAGGAGGGCGAGCATAAATATGCAGTTTTATATCGTTTGGGCAGGAGTTACAGAGGAGATTTTGTGAATATAAGCTTGTAGTTTGTTGAGAAAGTCTGTATTAATACTATACGATGTGTCAAAGTGCGTAGACTTTTTCGGCCTTTCTTTCACACTGCACAGTGCATCGCGTCATGTTGCGCAACGCGATCCTTTTCGAAACATTTTGCACTGTGCAATGTCTTTTCGCTTTCGCACAGTGCATTTCGAACTTTTTCCCACCCTTGTCGCCAACGCACAGTGCATTTTTCCCTTTGCGCACGGTGCAAACCTCAAAAAAGCCGTTTGCACTGTGCAAATTTTTCACGAGGAAAGTACATCTATGGGGTGTGGAGTTACAGGTCGAGATATATATCAAAAAATTCGCAAAAATTTTCTGATTCAGAATATATAAAAATTAGCTGCCTAATTTTGGTCTACCTACGAGTTTTATCAATAAATGTATTTCTCGAGGAAAAAAATCTGCGGCAACAAAAGCGCGCTCGGTCTCTTCCTTCGGAAGAGAGCGGTGTGGCCGAGCGGTTAGAGCGCTAGATTGGGAATCCGAAGGGGGACGGGTTCGATTCCTTTTGCCACACTAGAACCCATTTTTTACATTGGAACTACTTCTAAGGTGTAGTTCTAATCTAATTTGATATTTTAAGGCTTGTCAAGGCCTCAGAATTTATTTTAGCACAAAACAAAAATTTTTTATGGGTAAAAACACGGTCAAAAAGACACTTGCATGGTGTCGCGAGAAAACTTCTGAGGAAAAAAACATGTCATCAGACCAAATTTAGGCAGCTAATTTTTATATATTCTGAATCAGAAAATTTTTGCGAATTTTTTGATATATATCTCGACCTGTAACTCCACACCCCATAGAAGTACTTTCCTTGTCAGCAAAGAAGCGACGGCGCAGCAAAGAGAAGCTTACGTCGCAGCGATATTTCCAATGCACAGTGCGAACCAAAAAAATGTGAGTGCACGGTGCGGACCGCGACAAATGTCCAGGCATTTTGCACGGTGCAAAAAATCAGAGTTTTTTGTGCACGGTACCGCAAAGACAAGAAATGAAACTGTTTGCACTGTGAAAGTTCTTCATTAAAATGCACAGTGCAAACCCAAAAAAGGTGAATGCACGGTGCAGAATAACAAAGGGTTCTTTTTGACCGCAAAAAATGTCCATCCACTTTATGAAAATTCTAATATCAAAAGTTTTTTTTTGAAGATGCCCAGATGACGTTCCAAAAAATTAAAAATTTTAAAAATCACCTCCTTTACTGTACAAAAATCCATTATTTTTTCTAATCTTTGCCCTCCCTCCCTCCTCGCGCCTTTTACTCCGTTTTTCCAACCCGTTCAACGGCTTGCGGAAATTTCCAAACCTGTTTTCCCAGTGCCGTTGGGAAATGTTATTTTCACTTCCATTCCCATTCGAAATGTTATTTTTGGCACGTCTCCAAACCCTGCGTTCCGAATGCGTAGAGGAAGTGGGGGATTTCCACGAGCGGCCCGGATTTTCTCCGGGATATTTTCGGAGAGCGAACGGGAAATGGGGGAGAGAAGGCAGCCGTTTTTGGCTGTATCTTTTTAATTTTTCTGCGGAAAAAAGTGATTTTTTGTAGTGGTGTGTTCGGAAAAATAATGAGGACAGTCGCTAGGCCAATCACGCCGCTGAGATGACAAGAAATTCAATTTTGCCGCGACATAGTTCATTTTCTCGGCGGCAATGCGATTTTCGATGCGACAGTGCTCATTATTTTCTCGACAGACTGACGTATTTATGTAAAATAAGTGCGTGGACTTTTTTTGGGTGCACAGTGCATTTTGCCTTTTTTCGCACCGTGCGGGATTTTAAAAATTTTTTTACTATGCATTTCCACTTCACGCAAGAAAATGCTTCAGAAATATCGCAGCGACCCCATCGAAAATGATTTTTGTCGCGCGACATTCCCGTTGCACAGTGCGAAAAGCAAAAAAAAAAAAACAAATTAAATGCACGGTGCAAAATAGAATTTTCTGCACGGTGCGACAAAAAGTCTACGAATTTTTGAAAAAGCGTTGTAATACGATACTATTAGCATTCTCATAAAGTGTCTGGACTTTTCGTCGCGCGCCGCACTGTGCATGAAAAGATGGTCATATAAGAATTTAAAATTTTGTTTTCCCAAATCGCGATTTTCGGTGCACAAAAAAAGTGGACGCCCAAATCGAAAAACTGGCGTCGACTTGATTTTTTTCTCGAAACCGAATTCTGAAACCCGGTAAATTTTAAGTTTTTCGAAATCAGTGAACAAAGTCTTAAATCTGCACCGAAGACTTAAGTGCTTCAGTCAGCACCGCGTTTCGGAATTCGGTGCTGAAAAAATTAAGTCGACGCCAATTTTTCGATTTGGGCGTCGACTTCTTTGTGCACCGAAAATCGCGATTTGGGAAGACAAAATTTTAAATTCTTATATGAGCACCTTTATGACGTGCCTGGACTTTGTGCGCCGCACTGTGCATTTCATTTTTGAAACAAAATCGCTGCGACGTAAGCTTTTTTTTCATTGCGTCGCA